GGATTAGAAAACACAACATTAAATATAAGCTATTGTACTATCTGCTAGAAGACATCAGCAAATGTGTGGATGTGGGACTGGGAGCTGGGCTTTGGCATGTGATGTTCCCAGGGCCAAGTCCTGCGAAGTGCCCATTGCTCTGCTTTAACTTCCCCTTCGAGCTGCTCTGAGAGGGCTCGCTGGTATTAGTCACGTCCCTAGAGCTGAGATCTGCAACCAGTTGCACAGCCAATCTGCCCCCATTTTGGGAGGCACACAGGAATCAGAGGATCTTGCACTCAGAAACAGCCCAGCGATGGGGTCTGCAGCCTTCAACCTGCAAACCAGCCTGTGAAAAAACAGACTGCTCTGGAGTGAGCTGCAGTTAGTGAAAACTGGTGATTTGTGGAAATTAAGTGGTAGCTGCCAAGCCCTGCTTCACCCTAGTCCTGTGATAACTGCCTGACAGCCAGGAACCGCTGTCTTATGCTGTGGTTCTTGTTCCCAGGTCGGCAAAGAGGGCAGAAAAACAACTAATGAGGAATCACCGTTGGACTCAGTAATAGTTTTCCCCATAACTTCTTTGAAAAGGAAAATTACTATTTTAGAAAAAAATCCTAGAGGCTTAACAAGATCCCTACATTGTTCTAGTCATTTTATTTCCAATAAAAAGAAAACCCAGAGAAGACTTTGAAAATGTTGCCAGACCCCTAAATACATGATTACATTTTTAGAAACAATATGGTAAAATTATTTTTATTGCCATTTGAATCCAAATATTGTTGATTTTTTTTTATTTTTATTTTACCTCCTTGGACTCTTCAGCCAATTCAAATTCTGGGGTTGTTTTCCCATATGTTTCTTAAGATAGCTGTGGATTTCATCTTGTGGACACCACAACAGGAAGTTAAAAGCAGACCAGGGAGGTAGAGAAACACATTTGCAGGGATTTTCACTGTCCTATAAGTGCTGAAATACCAGCTGCATTTTTTAAATTCATTGGAAATCCTCCTTATTTGTGTTATTACTGAAAGAAAGAACAAGGTCTTGTCCTCTCAGAGCCAGTCTTAAAGGTGCGGAACTTAATATATAACATAAACCAGACGACTGGGGATACCAGCATCATAAAGTCACCCCAGGACATGCCTCTAAAGTAAGACATAAATAAGACAAAAAAAAAACAACAAAGCAATTTGCTCTTCTGCACTTTTAATTACTTCCTTGCTCTTCCAAGAGATGAAAAATCTTGGGATGTTCAATATACTGCTGGCAGGGCTCTCTACGAATGAGACCAGCTGTATCAGGAAAAGAAATCAAAGTACTAACTTCAGTTAGCTTAAAAGGAAATCTGAATATAACTATTTAATTGTTATAATATAAATATACAGTTATATAAGCCAGACATTTTGTATGGTGCCAAAGAAAATACCCACTAAAAAACCTGGTAGTCATACAGAGATAATTGATTGCTGCTGTTACTTGGAAATAGAGTAATTGCTAGTTACAGCAGGAATAATCCTGGAGACCACCTGCTTGGATAGAAGGCTTCCATAAGGTTGTAATCTGATAGCTCTGAACTCCTGTAATGTCATACATGAAAAAGATATTTCGCAAAAGCAGCAAAAGTTTGGGTGCCAAACCAGAGTCATAGCGTGTCTACATTGTGTGGTTCTTAACTAAGAGGTATTAAGAGAGAGAGAGAGAATATTAAGAAATACAATGCACAGAGCAAAAGTTTTTTCTTAGCAGCACATGGCCAATTCATGGCTTCTGGGCAGGAGAGAAAAGAACACTTTATTTTTTGTATAACTTTTGTTAAGCTGGTCCTTACTGATGCAGATACAGTAAAGAAACATAATTTTATCTTGTTTTGTTAAGGTCCTTGCTGATGCATTTCAGTAAAAAAACATAATTTTTTCTTGTTTTTGAGGGCAGTGTTGAGTAAAGTCTTGGGGTTGTTCCTGATTATCCTGAGATGCATTTATCTTTGCATCCTCATGTAAGATAGAGCAGTCAGCAGGAATGAATGTGACCTAATTATAATTAATTGCAGCTAATTAGTGTTGTACCTTTTTTCCCACATTTGCCATAAATTTGCCTTGACCATTGGTTTACTTGGGCTCAAAATCAAGTTAGTAGGAAGCTCTGTTGGATACTTCCTGGGGTAATAACTGTGAAAACTGGGACTGAGGCATTTATTCGTCGAAGATCACTGTCCATAATAATGATTTTGCTGTCAGCCGTGCTCTTTGTAACAGATGCAGGAGGGCATTTTTAATTGCAAATGCTTTTTTTTGCTTTTTTTTTCTTTTTTTTATTTTCTTCCTTGTGCCTGCGTATTGACATACAAATGACACATATACTGTGATTCCCAGAGAAGTCTGGAAGGATAACTCTTTTATTTGAGGCACTTGGATAATTTCATAGGAAAACTGGAAACACCTTTGCAAGTATCCAGTTTAATTTCTGATTCATTTTGTGCAGTAAAAATGTGATTATTCTCCCTGAAATTATAGCCATGGGTAACATATAAAATACAATTAGATGAATGCCATCCTGATCTTCCTTAGTATGCTCTGCAGCCATTCTGCCTCAAGTTGCGTCCTTATTAGGCATCAATGAACTTAGACATAATGCAGTAGAATGAACTTGCCTGAGAGGGCTCTAAGGAATAGATAATTCCTGTAGTTCCTGGTCCAACAGAGTGGTGCCTCCTTGGTGATATCATTGGACAAGTGGCCTTCAGCCCAAAATATTCTAGACAGACATCTTTATTCTAGACAGAAGATAGAAGGCATAATTATATTTTAAGTGTGACAAGCTATTGGATTGAAACTATCTAATAACATTTTTGCAACCGGTGTAACTGCTACACAATTTTCTTCTAAGTGATTAATTAAATGTTATGGTAGAAACATGAAAAATATTATGACCTCCAGCTAAATTAGTTATCAGACATTGTAATTTTACTTTTCAGAGTTACTTAATATGCCTTGCAACTTCTTTAGCTGACCAAACAGATGCTAATTTTTGGATTGAGATATTAAAGGAAGGTGTCAGTTTAAAAGTGGGTTTTGTTTATTCTGGTTTGCTTTTCCAGTCATTTCACAGTGTTTGCTTACTGCTTTACGTAACTTTGTGTTTCAGTGCCATGTTTTAAAACAAGAACAATTTCTTAAAGGATAGGAAATTAATGCTGCAGTTTGTATCATTCACTGCTATGCCTATGCAGTAACTTGGGACACAGGTAGTAAGAGCTTCATAAACAAATTGTTCCTGTGAATGCAAACTCTGGTAATCCATATTACAATTACCATTAATCCAATTTTTACTCCTGTGAAACGTCTCCCTTTAGTTGCACTTTAAAGCTGAAACTAGAAATATCAGTCAGATGTCTCTAAAGCAGAAAAACGTAGTCATGAAATGCTTTGATGACAAGAATCACAGCATTAAATCAGTATAGATAACCAAGTATAAACAGTAACATCATTCCTTATGTTGGTTATGGCTACTTTTTTAATAATAATTTTTTTTATTATGTTTTTCCACAGTACTGCCAGATGAGAGAGAATTTCAATATGCTGCTAAAATGAACAATCTGGATACCATGGAAAAACTGTTTAAAAAGAATGTTAATATAAATGCCGTAGATAGTGAAGTGCCTGACACAGATCACTGATATGAAGGGTGACTCCTTAGGGTTGCACAGCTGCAGGGTGATGAGGCTGCAGAAGTGCTCTCTAGGACCTGATGAGGAAATATTTCATATTGCCATTATGGACATTAGGATTTGTACAGCATAACTCTCAGGTTTCGCAGTAGTCAGTATATCACATTGGGAATTAAGGGCATCTCAGTTGTGCCCCTGCTCTAGTGTTTCCTCATAGCTCTTTGGTGACTGATTTCTCAAGTTCTCCTTCTTTCTGAGTCGGATGACTTTACCTCACAGTCACTTTAAGAATGGATTAATGCTGCTAGCATTACAAATTTCTAGAAAGAAGTATTACTCTTTGATTTGCATGGAACCGTGGCAGCATTCTCCAACATCCTCTGGTTCCAGCCTGAGCTCATTGTTCAGATTTACCCTAGACACACACGAATGCTTTTCTTATGCTGACTTCAACACTAGGCCTAAAATCTGAGGACGTATACTTCACAGTAGCTAAATACAGCATTGTGTTCCACATGAGAGGTAGTTCAACAGCAAGGAAGCAATCATATTAATCTGGGAGTTCTGCATAAGTGTCCTCTCAATGGCTACATATAAATCATCTACTTGTTAGTATCAAATGTTACTTATTAAAAATTGGCTTCCCATGCTCACATGCATTTTCACCCACAGGGGAATTTAGAAGATACTATAATGCGTTCCTTGATTTGTTTATGAAACAGACAAGGAGACAAACATTTCTTCTGAGCACGCTTTTCTTGAATATTGAGAGTATCAATTGAATTATACACTAAAAGGTCACTTAAAAATAGTTCTTTCTTCCTTCTTGTTTTCTAGAATCCAGGAAGTTAAATTAAATACATTTTCAGTCGAGTAGTTAGAAACTTTACTCTGTCATCCTTATATTTGACCTATAGGATGAGAGAGTTACTAGCATAGCTGCAGGGGTCTTGTGCTTTGATCGATTGTCCTAGTAGGGATGTAGCTTATAGTGGCAAAGCCATTCGTTTTGTTAATGTTGATCATTTCTGCCCCTGTGCCCTCAAGCCAAATAAGAAATGCTGTCAAAAGACGAGCTTTTAATAGTACTCTTTCTATGGTACAAGAAGCTTTTTTCTGACATAAATACATGTCATAAAGAAATTTTTATTTCTTTCGATGCATATGGTTGTAAAATCTAAATTTATACATGAAGAAGTCAGGTGATCATTCAGAGAAGAAAAATCCAAATGGACTTTTGAAATTAATTGATTAAATCTCTTAGACATCTTTGTATGGAAACTATCAGCGAATTATGTTAAACCCAGTTATGTCCACTTTAACTGAAAGCAAAACTCTCTTGAATAAAATTTGATTCAATTTAACAAATCCCTTTTAAATATATACCACTAATTACTTTATGGAAGTCTTCTTGGGAAGTGCTGAGCCCATTCACCTCTGTAAAATTACTCACTGTTTGCAAGGTGGTAACTTTTATTTACGTAGATGATGACTCAGTCTGGGAAGTTGAGTAACACTGAGTGAGGGAGAAATCTTGGCTTGCAGTGAAGAGGTTTAGTCAAAAGCAAGGAGGATACCAAAAGCAAATCTAACTGTGTACATATAGTCCTCAGCTATTCAAACTACACCTACTACAACTACTACACAAGAAGGATGCTTCTTGTACTGCGTGCACCTCCCCTATGCAGTATTTGACTACTTAATCCCATTTTGACATTTGAATGGAGGGACAGTACTATGTAGACTAACAAAATCATTGTTTTTACAAGAATTCTCTAAGACCAATATCTAAATTCTATCCAAGGAAACAAAACAAAATGTGTAGATAAAGATCAAGTGTTAATGTTGAAGGAGAAGTATGAAATAGTATGTATTAACAAGTACATTTGGTAACAATCAGAGAATTGCAAAATCCTGACCACCTGCACAGGGAAAAGAACAGTATTACAGACCTGACAAACAAAGCTTTGCTTATTCCAGCTGAAGCGCACAGCGTTTCATTTTGCTGTTGTGGGAGGCCATGTGTCTGTGGTGGATTTTCTTCTCCGTCACAAGGCAAGACTTGACATGGCAGATCAGGTAAGCTGGTTTACTTATTTTGGTTCACCTGTATAGGAACACCTTTGAAGAACAGTAAAAGTAGATATTTTTCTTGTGCTCTCAATTGTGCAAAATTAACGCCTTGCAGTAAAAACTCTGGTTTGTCTTTGAACTGCAGATATTTATATGTAAAAAGCATTTTTGCCCAAAGTATTGGATAACTTGAATACCTGAGTGAGCACAAGGCACCTCCCTTGGCCAGGTCATAGTGTTTACCCAATTCAGCCAAGGATATTATTTGCCTTGTGTGTTCCAAGAGCGCACTGCTGACTCATGTTCAACTTAATGTGCACTAGGAGCCGCAGGTCTTCCTCTGCCAAACTGCTTTCCAGGCAGTTATCTGCAGCCAGTACTGCTGCCTGGGTTTGCTCCTCCTCAGGGGCAGGACTTTGCACTTGACTGTTGAATTTTTTTATGTTCTTGCCTGGCCATTTCTCCAGCCTGTCAAGGTTTTCCTGGATGGCAACACCCCAATATGGTCTATCAGCCATTCCTCCCAATTTAATATTATCTTTTAAGCTTGCTATGGGTACATTCTGCCCATCATTCAGGTCATTAATGCAGATACTAAATAACATTCCCAGGATGGATGCCTGGTGGGCATTGCTTGTGACTGGCCTCCAGCTGTTCATCGCTTAGAAGGTTTTGCAGGACAGGCTTTTGGGCCACAGCCACAAATTTTGCTGGAGCCCAGATTTATTATTATAATATTATTATATATATAGTATATTTTACTTACATACACATACACATACATATACACATACACATACATATACATATATACACACACACACACACACACATATATATATATATATAATATACCAGGTACATATTCCATATTGCCCTCCAGAGTTTTCCACTGCAATTTCTGCAAATATGAAAAAGACTGATAAAGTGGAGTGAGTCCCATGAGGAACCTCTAGAATGGTTAGAAATGCAGCACATGGTATATGAGGAGGTGTCCTAATATCCAACCTAAACCTCACCTTACACAGCTCTATGCCATTCCCTTTGGTCCTGTCAGGTCAGTGCCTGCCCCTGCTCTTCCCCTCAAGAGGAAGTTGTAACTGCAATGGGGTCTCCACTCTCCTCTAGGCTGAACAGACCAAGTGATATTAGTTGCATCTCATATGATTTCTTCTCAAGGTCCTTCACCATCTTTGTGTTCCTCCTTTGGACACTCTCCAGTAGCTTTTTATCCTTGTATTGTGGCACCCAAATCTGCCCCCAGCGCTCAAGGTGAGGCTGCCCCAGCTCAGAGCTTGTCCTTCTATTTTTAAGATGTTAAAAACAGGGTTCTTTTCTTCCTATAAGAGAAAATTATTTTTAGAGAATTTGAGAGGTGAGAACATTAGAAAGAGGCCTAAATGGAAAATTATGGTGACTCATGGAAATATAATCATTGTATATTATCACTTGGAGTGTCATTCACTGCACCCAGGGCTATCTATCTATATGGTTTCTGTAGAGAGAAAGTAATTTCCAGGTAGGACTTAATCCCTCTGTCTTAAGATAGGATCAGTCCTTCTCTAGAGATGCCAGACCTTCTGTCAAAAAGAGGTCAGACATTTATCTTATACAGGTCTTGCTGTATTGCATCTAGCTTCATTTAAGTGAGATGAATCCCACTCACACTGTAAGGTGTTCATATTGCTTTTCTAAAAGCCTGCAGGTTGGAGCCTACTAATACACTGAATCAATCAAAAAGCTTTAAAGAAATTTGGCTTGAGGTATTTTGGTGGTAATCTCTTTTTTTTGTCATTTTATTCAAAGCATGGCCTGACAGTGATTCATCTTGCAGCTTGGACTGGAAATCTGGATATAATGCGAAAATTAGTTAAAGCAGGTGCTGATCAAAAGGCTAAGAATGAGGTTTGTTGATGACAAATTTTTACCAACCCTAAACATATTTATGCTGGAAAAAAATCCAATATTCTTACAGATTCACTTCCTATTTTACAGGAAGGAATGAATGTACTGCATTTTGCAGCTCAGAGCAACAGCATTAAAATAGTTGATTATTTCCTCCAAGATCTTCATCTGAATGACTTGAACAAACCTGATGGGGTTCAGTGTGTTGGTTTGTTTATTTCTTTGATGTCATGAGGCTTTTGTTTTGGTGGAAACAATCTCGGGGAATTTCAATGAATTTTAATCTATTGACAGTTGCATATACTTTTAATTACTGACTTGGATAATGGGAAACAGTTAAACGAAACAGCCAGACAAGCACTTAGGGGCAACACCTTTCCTCCCTCTTTGTCTGTTTCAGTTGGACTGCAGACACTCTCTGCTGTCCTTGCTTTTGCTGCATGTGATGCTTAGTGGTGGTAAGGCAATGGGAGGCAGAGGAGGTTGGGTTCAGTCTCCAGTGGATTCCTTTTTTTCTGCTCTTACTTACTCTTACTTACTTAATAGTCTTTCTTACTATTTTCCTCTGTTCCAGAAAGCTTCTTGCACGGGCTGCAGTCACCCTGTGGGTGTTCCTTCCTCTGTGTCTCCTCTCTTGTGTCTTCTTGTATCTCCTCCTGTATCTCCATGGTAACATAATGCAATACAACATCTCCCCTTGTGCATCCTCCCCACAGCAGTGCCCAGCCATTCTTAAGTACCTTTTCACAGAGGCATCATTTGGTTCTATGGTGGGTTAAGTGCTGGCGCATCATGGGACAGTTTGGTGGACTGTGGAGCCAGCTGGAAATGTCTGTGACTAGCACAGAGCAGCCTCTGACCTTTCCCACACAGCTCATCTTCACAAGCCCCTGCCCTTACCAAAACCTGCCAGTTACGGCCAACATGTTTCATCAATCCAGACCATAGAACTATGTGCAGCCATCCTGCAGAGGTGCCCTGACTCTCCAACAGTGCCTTGTCCTCATCAGGTTTTCTGTGTTATTTTTAGTTTCCACACTGTTGGGATCTCATTTTGAAATGCTATGTAGCTAATTCAGATATTTTATCTTTACATGAGGAAAACTTATTCCTGTGAGGTCTGACACCTAAAGAACAAATATCCCATATTTTTTTTTCTAAGTTTCTTGGATTTTATTGACTCAAGGGTGCAAAATTCTGAATTCTTTTTGCAAATGACAAATCTGAAAAAACAGGGTTAATTTAACAAAACATACCTTTGAAGGTTTAGGCCTTGGGAAAGATGAGGAAACACTTTCTCAACCACCTGTTGAGGTTGCATCATAATTCTCTACAAGGTGCATGCATTCTTTTTCTAGACATTTCTATAGGCATGGTTTTGTGTCAAGATATCTTTCTGCAGGTGAGTTCCTAAATGGTTTGAAAAGTTTTTGTTAGTTACAACACCACCAAAACCCCCTATAATGTACAGTGCTAAACTCAGGCCTCCCAGATGAAACTTCTGACAGTCCTGGTCTCTGTTTCCAGAATTTGGATCAAACAAATTAACCCATGGAAATAAATCTTGCAGTTTCTTTGGTGCCTGTTTCTGAGAATCCTCAGGCTTATAATTGCACGGTTCTTTTGATAAATATTTTCATACTGAGAAAAAATAGGATTAAAAGATTTTGAGTGTATTTCCCACATTTTTACCATTTCTAAACAATTTTTATATATTTTATTCAGGATATGCAAGGTCTATAATCTGTTTATATACACTAAGTATATTTTTTTATTACTGCTGTTCTGTGTATCTACTATTGTGTTAAACTCCTTAGTCATATGATATATACATTTTTGTGTAGGATACACATATACATATGCATGGCATGTATCTAGTAACTAGAAGAAAAATATTTTTACTTTCTGTAACACTGTGTTTCTGTCCATAATTGTTTTCTAGAAAGGTAAAAAGCCATTTCTTCTGGCCTGTGAAAAAGGCCACATTGACATGATAAAAAATTTGATTGCTCTGAAGCTATTTACATCTGAAAAAGATCAGGTAAATGTTTATTTTCTGCAGAAGTACAACTACAAATGTGTTTATGAAATACTATTTTGTTTCACTGTAGTTATTATGCAAATAGCTGAGTGTGCTGCACAGATGTTATGGTGATATATGGTACCAACAAACATAAAAGGATGATGATTTTTTAGTGATAAAGGGGTGATTGTGGGGAGATTTTCCATACACATTTATAATTTATGCAAAGCAAGAGCAGCATATGCTGTCTGTTAGGAGAAATGGGAAAGCCTGGGGAAAAAGGTGTCAGCCTCTGCTCTGGGGCATCATATTTCCCAGGGTTTCACTCTGTCTGTGTCTGTGTGTCACTGTGTGACCAATTTTTCAAAGCTGTTTAAAAGCTTCAAGGTGCAAATAAACATCTATAAATGCTTTTTCAACAGTACCTTAACACTTCACTCTGATTGAGTTTGCTTTGACACTATATTTTAAGGTATCATAGTAATTTTCAAAGTCTGCTCTTAAATTTATTTTTCCTTACTTGACTATTTCTGGAACAAGCAAGTTAGTATTTCTCTGCATTTGAGGTATTGCAAGGACAAATACATTAGAAATTATCAAATTGTCAGATACTGCATTTACAGAACCACTTAAGTGAGAGCTTAGGAAGTGATGTTGGGTTTTTTTTGGTATTCTGGTAATAGTTTAAAAGCTGCAGTACCACCCAGAACTCTGCTGTGCAAAGCAGTTTATCAGCAGAGATTGAAAGATAGTGTTGTCCCAGACATCTAGCAGGTTAAAGGTGACAGCAGTACCAGGAGGTAAATGCTGTGGTCCTGCAAATTAGGTAAGAAGCCAGGACAGAAACTTATCTTCTGGGTCACCAAACCAAATCACACTGTAACCATCAGTGGTAAAAAAGATTCCCACATCTTCCCACTCAATGCTGTGAATGAAAAACTATTCTGGACTCTCATTTTTTTCTGAGAGCTGGAATTCTTCTGATTTTTTAGCCATTTTTAATCTATTTTGTATGCTTGTGTTTTCTTTTAGTTCAAAACCTGCTGCTCTGCCTGATGTTGTTAGTTGCTCTTATTTGCTTTTTTCTGTTTTGTGTTTCTTAATTTCCTGGAAAGAGATTGCACTGACGATGACAGAGATCAAAGATTGCAATGTTGATATCAAAGCCATGACAAATTTCTAAATGCTGACCTAGGCTTTTTTATTTTTAAATCAGTGGTCTCGGGGGCTCAGTGTAGTACCCAGCCTTGTGGGAACCAGTACCTGAAGTTTTCTTCTGATTCATTTGTTAGGAGTTAGAATTTCAGGTCTTTTTGTTGGTATGCACTGAAATTTTCAGACAACCAACTAGGTCAGCAACTTTTGGCTGAGTCTTGTCACATGCTGTGTGTAGCTGCCTTCCTCTCCTTGTATGTAAGAGAGACTTGAAAGACTTGAGAGACTTGAAAGAAAGACCAAAGGCTTTGTGTTGGTTTTAGTTAATGTCTTTATTCTGGGTTTTAAAATAGGTTATTTAACATTTTAATTTCAAGGAGGGAAACACAGCATTGCATTTAGCAGCCAAAAATGGTCACAGTGAAGTTGTAGAAATTCTGCTTGAACAATGGGAGGAAATAAATGACCTCAATCAGGTAAGTACACTAAATTATTGACAGAAGTAAAGTTAGAGATTTGAAACATTTTCCGAAAAATCAAATTTGAAAGGAAGAGTTGTGGCACTGAGGAGACTTCATTAGTCTTGCTGGTTTCCTAGTAATTTTGCAGCCTGTTTTTTTGTTCCTTGTCCAAGAAATTAACCTACATTAACTCCTTCAGTGTCTTCCTCTGTCCTCTATCCCTTACACACATCCTCCCCTGCATCTGGCCAGCCCTTGCGTAACTACTGGCAGAAGAGGACAGAGGAAGGCCTTAACCTCCCTTGCTTTCTGTCATCCAGCATTTTCAGCCATGTGATCCCATTCCTTTTAACAGCTCACTTTTAAGCTTTTCTGGTGCTTTTCAGCCTATTCACTGAGCCAGTTTGACTTGGATACCAAGCAGTACCATCACAGTCACCTTGGCAGAGGGGTCTCAGATTGGCATCTTGTCCTCTGAACCCAGTTGCACAAAACTGGCTGCAGACACTGCCTACCCAATTTGCTTTCCCAGGTTAGTGTTGGTGAGCTCAGCCAGCATATTCAGCAATTAGCTGGGAAGGTTGTATCCCTTAGCTAATGCACTCTTGAGCTTCACTTTAAGGCTTAAACAAGGAGTGGAGGAAGGAAGTGCACACTAACTGCTCATGTCAGCATTCTTGCTTTGCAGAGGGTTTGTGTCTCATCTGTCTCTCCTGTTTCTTCTCTCACCTTTCTTATCCAACTTGTCTGCTATTTTCAGCTGTGCTGTTGTGGGGCACACAAGCCTCTTTGAAATGTGAAGCCCTCTGAAATGTGGAGCCCTTGTGTTTCCAAGGCTTTTCTAAGAATGCTGGTTCTGCACACAAAGCTTGTGCTGCTTGTGCCCCTGTCTTGGCATGGCTAATGGTGTGACCTTCCCGTCCAGCTGGGGATGTTGTGGTCTGGGTATGAACAGATCTCTCCTCCCATAGCACAGGCAAAGTACAAAAATGTATTCAGTTTACCAGAATAATGTCAGGATTTTAAGCAAATTGAAATTGGGATTTACTGATTCTTTTGTTGAAATACCAGAGTAACTTCCATTAAATTTATGAAATTTTATTCATGGAATAGTTTTCTGTATTGTAAACTTTACTATACATCTGTCCAGATAAATATCATCTGGATATCCAAGTAAATATCATCTGGACTTCTGGTGAGTAGCCATGTCATTCAGGAGTTGGATGAGCCTGGTGGAGTATACTGTAGGTGTTTTGTGTCTCAGTGTTGTAGTCACATGTCTTAAATTGGAACAGACATTTTATCTCCTTTGGTCTAGAATGGAGAAACTCCATTTTACTTGGCTGTTGAAGGAGGTCATGAAAAATATGCTGAACTCTTACTGGAGGCATGGAGTGACATCAATGTTTCAACTCAGGTATGTACACAGAATCCCTCCTAGTGGGACATACTATACTGTGGAAAGGACCTTACTAACAAAGGGTATTTTCTCTCATTTTTTTTTAAATGAAATTGGGGAAAAAAGTAGAATGGGGAATGTAGAGAGTACTAACAAAATAAAAGCAATGTGGAAGAGAAATAGCATTAGCTTTATTTGATGGAGTACTGTGTGGAGCTTTCTATTTCCTGTATGCCCACTGGTACAACATGTGACTAGAAAATGTAACCAACTAGGATAACTGAAAATCTTCCTTTTTGGCAGTGTATGTGACTGATCTGATGACAAACTTGCTCTCTACATCTGATTCCTGAGCTGCAGTCCAACTCATACCTGCTGAATGGCCTCGGCTGGCCTGCTGCAAGAAGTTTGTGATTCCAGCAGAATGAGAGCTTGTTTGTTTAAGCAGAAATATTTTGGAAAAAATAAATTTTAAAAGTTTATTTTCTATTAATTTATTTTCTACTGATTTATTAACTGTTCTATGGGTTTACTGGCTAATGTGACTGTACCTGCTTGGTAAGGGTCTAACAAACTAGCTGAGTAGGAGACCTGTTGGCAATGTTTTTGTCCATGCCACAGTATAGATGATGATGATGATGATGATCTCTTTTTTAAGAGAAGTTGGATGGGGCTATGGGATACTGATGTTCTTTAGTATGTTTGTTTTGATATAGTAAAAATTTCCTTCACTGTTGACAAAAATATCATGCCAACTGCTGATCCACTTAAGTTTGTATCATTTTGTCAAAAGGTTTTATTGGTGGAGGGGATACTAAGACAAATTTAAATGCAAGATTATTCTGTATTTATACCTCTCTTTCAAATTGTTTTTTTTCAGCAATAAAAATACAAGTTTTTCTGTCTATCAAATTTCTTTCAGAATAATAGTAGTGCTTTGCAGATTGCAATTCAAAATGGACATCTATCCTTGATTACTTTTCTTATTGATAAGAATATTGACCTGGTTCCTAAACCTGAGGTGAGTGTTTATCAGAATATCTCTTCTGCTGCTGCTCAGCCTGTCCTGTCGTTCCACGGGAATTCAGACAGCTGAATGAGATTGAGCAGCTCCTTGTATTTTTTCCTGCACACGTTATTACTTGGTTTCTCGAGGTCGGTTAGCAACAAGTACAGACCAATAGAGAAAAGGCCCTGTTGCCAACCCAATGAGTGCCTGAGCAGGCTGGTGCAGTGCAGAATAGACATGGCCAGGCTAAACCAGGCATTCAGAGAAGAGCAAAGTGCTCTGCTTGAACTTAGTGGTATTCTATGGGCAAACTGTCAACATGATTTTAAATAAAGATAACTAAAATGTAAATAAACACTTCAGTGCTTTCACCCTCTGCTGGTAAATGAACCTTCAGTGCCTTCAAAATCAGCATGCCAAAATTCTTTGTGATTTAAAAAGAAGTATTTATATTATCCAAATCCTCTCTCAGTTTAGATATTACAGATATTTGAGATTTTCTATGAATAGGTAATTATTTTCTACTTCTACAGTACAGGATGAAAATAGAATCTGGACTTCATGAATTATGACACGATCTTTGGCCTCTTGCAGAAAGCTATAAAGGAATAACAACTTATGATGTGCTAGAAATTATTTAAAGCTCAGGCAGTTGTAGTGCTGTTTGTTCTCGTTAGCTTTCTTTAGCAGAAGCAAGTCAGAAGTTTTAACTTACATTTTGAAAATGTTTCCATCACAATGTTGCATAAGAGCTTGCTTTATTTTTCTGTAACCCTTAAGAAATGCCTGTGGTTTATAAAGACACTGAACTGGAGCCTGGGACCACAAATGATACTGGTATGGAATTATTCTTTAGCTGTCATTTCACAAAAATCTGATCAGTCACAGGTTCAACATACAAAGTGATCTTACCAACCTAGTGTGGATTTTGACTTGTGTTGCATCTGTGCCCTGGTTATATTAATCAAAAATCACTCAAATAAAACCTCTGTCTTACTCACTGTAATTAGTCATATTTTATAAATATGACAGCAAGTCACTTTAGTATGAAGAGCACTTCCAGCAGCAACACGTGACAAGGAAAGTAGTTTTACTGGTAGGTAAATTTTGACATCAGTTTACAGAATGAGTCTGTCTCCAGGCTATTCAACAAAGGGCAAAGCCACTTTTCTGAGGGAGCAGGAACATTACCCGAATCTCTCTGTTGTCAGGATAGCAGCACATCCCAGACAGGAACATTTAAGAGGGGTGTCTTGCTCCATTCCTAAGTGGTGGCACACTGATGCATACCCCATGAAATCAGCATTTCCAGTCTTCTGAGCTGAATGTATTTAGCCACTTCTGTGGGTGTTTCAGGACACCCTCTGGTGTAACTCCACACATCCAGCTGTGCTTTCTGCAGCCTTGAACCTCTGCTAGAGCATGTCACCTTTGCAAGAGGTGGGCTTCAAGTATAACCTCTTTCTTGTTTGCATGAGCTTGTATTAATATACCCAAGTATAACAATTTATTATTTTCCCTCCACAGCAGAAGAATTCCCCTCTCCATTTAGCAGTTATCAGTAATAACCTACCAGTAGTAAAAAGACTTCTGGATGCCAATCATGACATAAACTCCTTAAATCACGTAAGAAAAGCTGGGAATTTACACAGCTTTATTGGTAAAGGGGAGATTATGTGGGTTTTGCTTGAATTTTTTTTCCTTATGAGCTCAGGGTACAAAAAAATAGGAAGGAAGAGGCAGTTCCCTCCTAATCTTTTCGTGTGTGTACATATATATTAGTCACTGGTACATGCTGTTCTAATATTGTTTGAGCAAGATAAGGACAGCACAATGTTCAGAAAATGATCTGGTAATGTATTGTTCAAGTGTTACGGTTCATGTGTAATAAACAATGAAATGTTTCACTGGTATTGGCTTCAGAGGGAAGCCCAGTGCAGAACGTCATTTGGTTGGAAAAAAGTTAATTTTTTCCTTAAAGCAACTCACCACATGCAGTGTTTTAGATCTGTGATCCAAACAGTGCTAGTAAGACAGTGCTGTTAAAGCTGCAGCTGAACAATGCCTGCACAGCATCAAGGCCTTCTCTGTTTCACACTCTATGCCCCCATGTGAATTGACTGGGTGCTCAGGGAGCTGGCAGGGGACAGAGCTGAGCAACACAGCAACAATGAATGACAAGGTCACAGGTCTCTGTGATGCCATCAGTGAGCATACTCAGCTGTTAACTGAAAGGATGCTGGTTTGAGCCCATCCACAGTTCCTTACCGTAACCAGGATTCTTTTGCCCTGCTTGGTGTCTGTTTTTTGGAGGCCTGGTTGTTGTCCAGTTTGCTGTAGATCAGATCAGTTCACTGTAGATTTTAGCTACCACTGAAGTGGGCCATGCCTTGAAGCTGTCATGCTTCATCTCTTTTTTGCTGTACAAAACCTCCTATAATTGTTAATGACCATTTCTGGTTTTGCTATGTTGCCTATCACTTTGTAGTACCTTGCCTGGCAGAGCAATGATAAGAGCACTGGTTTGTGCCTGATCTGGTGGTTTTGGGCCTTACAATGCCACTCTCTGTGAACTGAAGTGACCACCTCATGGAGAACAATTACAACAACAATTACTCCTTTTCCTTTCCTTCCTTGGACAGGCACTTTATTGAAAGAGGAATTAATGGCATTTGTCCCTGCTTGCTCCTCCAGAGAGAACAGGTCTCTCCCACCTTCTTGTAACACCACTCAGTTCCTTGAATATCCTCAAATAATCACACTGTTCATGGTAGTGTGTGTTGTGAGCATGGTTTTGATTATTGTGAGTAATAATTAACAACTAATTGGGAATGCCACACAGGGATTTCCCAGAGGCAGTCAATTCTCAGGTAGCATCATGTGTGGAAGGAATTGGACACATGCCTGAGGCTCTCACTGTCTCCAATGGCTTGGGACTTCATGCCTTAGGAGGAATGTAGCCCCAGGTAATTTATACACCATCTGAAGGAGGGAAGTCTTTCCTGCCCTGATGAAACGAAAAGATTTCCAGTGCTGTATTGGATCTGGCCCCTGCCTACTGAGCTGACATACAGCGTCCCCAAAAGAGAACGAGGGTTTCCTGGTCAAGGAGCATGCAAAGGGACATGAGAAGCTCTGAAGCCACCATATGAACACTGAAAACTCACTTAGTTGGAGGTATCCACACCTTTGCTTAGATACCTCACCCTCAAATATAATAATTGTGCCTGTATTCAAAGAGAGATGGTGGAAGTAGATGTTGATTTGGTTAGAAAGAGAAACAGCAGCTCCTGCTGAGGGGCAAAAGGGGGAAGGTTCAAAAGAGGCAGCCTGGCCTGTAGCAGGATAGGAAAGGGAGAAGACAAGAATGACAACAGAGGCAAAACTATCTCTGAATGACCTCTTAGGCAGGCAGCAAGTATTCATCCATCAGCAAGGTAAACACACTGCTACCTGGCTGCTCAGTGTTGAGAAGGTAGGGAAGCCCAGCTGCTGGGGTCCACCTCTAGGAGCAAAGGGATTGACAAAGGGATCATAATGTTAGCGTTCAGGATCACACATAATCACGGATGATTATATGAAGGTGCTTTATTGAAGAGCTCTGGGTGTCAGGGGTACACATACCCAAATCTGACCCGATTTGGTTTTGAGTTGAACGTGCCTTATACTCTATTGTTATACAACTTACATATTAATCATTAAACTTACATTGTTCTATTGTATGCATTGTTTTTACCCAAGCATGGATTTCTTGTGATCAACCCCTAGCCCTCTAGCATTGTTCCTCCTGTTCTTTAAACAATAATTATATCTAATCACATCTAACAATTGTATCATTTATCATATACCGACTACACAGGTGCAGTTTGACCTGATCTTTAGCAAGCACAAGGCCTAACATTTCCCAGGGCCTACTTTTCCCAGGGCTTTCCAAACCTAACTTTCTTTCTAAGTCCCCGAATTTTCTAAGATTTTAAGACCTTTTACTATCAATAACAGAGGCAGCCACTCATAGGTCTCTGAAGATGGCTTTTACTGAGCATGAACACACAGTGTCTCCTCAAAGATGATACTGCAAACCAGCAAGGCAAGTAAACTTCCACAGAAGGTATGCAGGATCTGAGAGAGTGGTGGTAGAGGGGGACTGCAGTGATCTGGCCAACAACTAGGTCTCCAAAAATCTCAGTGACATCCAGTGCCCGTGGTCCATATGGCAGAGGATTGTACAGAGCTCACATACACTGGTCCCTGACCATGACAGACTCCAGGAGTCCAACTGTGTACGGACTGGCCTGCCACCTGTGGCACTTCAAGGAGAATCTTTCTTCCCACTCACCATCAGCCCTACATCTCAGCTGTGGAAAGACTGTCCCAGCAGGCCTGTTAAGTCCCATTTGGGCACTGTGGCTCTCTGCTGGGGAAATGCAGCTTGCTCTCCCTCATGACATGTGGAGGTGTTCCCCATGATAGGAACAAGGATGAGTCTTTGGGAAATCTGTGGTTCACCCCTTCCCATTGTTCATTTTATTGCTAGAGATTAATTTATACACATTTTTGTGGAAGACAAAGGGTGGCATTTGTGGCTGGAGTAAAGTATAATGACAAGACTTTCTGGTCACATAAAACAGAAAACATTCTGTAGATTCTTCAACACATCTTTTAGAAATATTTTGTTCTTTGTCTCTAGCTTTCCTGAAGTTGCCTACAGTACATACTTACGTGTCCCCAAATTTCTCCAAGAAGGATAGTAGGGTGTATGAATAAAAAAATACTTTTTATTTATGGGAATCAAAAAGTAAGGTAAATACATGAAATTGTGTCATCATAGTGTAAACTGCAAAATTAACTGATAAGATTTTTTAAGTGGAGCCCTGAGCCTGGGGTTTCTTCATGTGCAAACCTTTAATTAAGATCTAAAGGCAAAAGAAGTTCTCCAACAAGACTAACATGTAATGTAAATTTGCAGTGTCAGAGAAGCACAGGCACAAAACATTTAACTTAGAAGGATAATGTGTCCCAAGAAACATACTAAGGAACATTCCCATATATGCAGGGCTTCCAAAGTTACTCCATTATTTGCTGCTGCATTTCATCCACAGCTGTCTGGATTTTCTTACTCTAATTTCTGTAAAAGAATAAATAAATACATATTTGGGTATATGTAGCTGTGTAGAGACTATACAACCCTCCTTGCAGACTCAAAGATTTACTTGAAGCTGACTGCAATTTTAGCTGTATTTCTTGTTAATCGTTTGGCCTTGTTTAGTGGTTTTGGTTTGGGGTTTTTTTGTATGTGTGTTGTTTAAGGTTCACTGAACCCATTATGGAGCAGGTAGACTTCTGTTGTGTACCATCATTTTGTGGCAGAGCTGACTAAAAAGCTCTGTTGTGGATGTGGCATAATGTGCTGTTGAAAATAGTGGATATCCAGTTGTCCTGGCATGAATTCCAGCAGAGAAAATGTTAGTCGAGAGGAATATATGGGTGTGGGTTGCCAGCCACATGAAGAGCTCTGTCCAAAGCACCTTGCTTTAAGAGGGAAGAGAGAGAGTGAGCTTGTAGGTTAACAGTACATTAGAGGGGCATAACAGCAAGTCTTTCCTGAGCCAGCAGGAACTTCTGCCTGTTTTTTTTCTGCAGAGATTCCATATGCTGTTCTGTCTGAAATAAAACCAGCAGATCACCCAAAAGTTACATGATTTCCCTCTGTTCAGTATTTTCTCACCAAGGTCACTTCTTATTGTGAATCTATTTTAGATTCAGCCTGTGAGGATGCTGCTTCTAGGAGCAAGTTTGAATAAATGCATTTATTTGGTGTCTCTAATTCCAGAGGCAGGAAACCCCTCTACATCTGGCAGCTGATCTTGGCAATGTGGAATTGGTGGAAGTACTGCTGAAGTCAGGCTGCAATCTCAAGACCATAGATAAGGTAAATTGCGTTCCTCACACATGTAAGGATTACATGATTTTATTTTTTGTTTATCACCTTCCTTACAGAGGTGCATAAAGCACATGTTGCAAGTTGTGTTTGCTAAGTAAAGCTAACTACAAAGGAAGTCTTTCAATATTGCCATACCAGTACCTTGCAGAGACCTGAACTGGTTTTGGTGAAGAGCTGTAAAACTCCTAAGCTCCGTGGTTTGAAGGAGAAACACTACTTCTAGAGATCTTTCATAGAAAAAAAAGGTCTAGGCTTGCAGAGGGGAAAATAGCTTGTGGCAGCTTGTGCTGTGCACCTGCAGCTGGGCTTGTTGCCAGGACAGATGCAGCTTCACCAGGTGCAGTGATGGAGAGCTTGCCCTTTAGCACTCCAGGTCATCTGAGAATCATGGTGACATTCCAGATCCATTCAGGTGGATACTTAAACCCTGAGATGATGTTCTGCCTGGAAAGATAGAGACAAAAATGACAATGGCTGGAAGAAGTACCAAAGCAAAGTTGCTGGGGAAATGCTTTTGAAAGGAGAGAGTACCAAACCCAGTATTTACAAATCTTGCTAAATTACTGCAAGATTGAGTGTCCCCTTTTACACTGTTACTACTTTTCTTGATATTCTGTATGACTGAGTTGAGAGATTTGATGTTTAATTATGAGCAAAATCTTGCCCTTTTGTAACTCTAAAAAGTAACTTCCCTGCACAAAACTGTCCTGATGAGAAGTGAAGCTTTATGGATTAGGATTGTCTTGTTTTGCCCTAGCCTGGTATGCGGCCTGGGGCTCTGAGTGTGAGTTACATGGTTGGTATGTTTTGAGATGCTGAGGTAAGATGCTACATTGTAGTTAAGCCTTCCCTTTTGGAATTGTGCCTACACTTGACAAAGGGCTGCAGTTCTTGTGAGGATCAACCCAGCAGAAAATCTTGTCCACTTTAAACAGCACCTTAGCCACTAGGAAATTTTTTCAACCTATTTGTATTCCAAAGGCAGACACAAAAAATTCCTTATTGCCTATGACCTTAAGCACCTGTAAGTCTTTGTGGTATTACTGCTGTGGTATTACAGGAACACTGATATTGCTCAAGACTTGTTATGAGACTTTGGCTCTGAGCCAGTACAAGTTCTGGTACAAGTCACCTTTCTGCTTTGGTTTTATTTCTTGGAGTAGCTTTTCCCTTGCCTATTTCCTGGATGATCCCTGAGACCATGTCACTGCTGGGAACTTACACAAGTACAGTGGCCTTTTGAACTGAATTGGTGTTGAGATGCCAAAAATGTCACTGTCCTTGCTGAAGAGCAGACACGAAGAAAGGGAGCCTGCTTCAATTGCATGGTATTTTCCGGGCCTCCGTGCCCTGGCAGCAGGAGTACTCAGTCTCCAGAGAGTGCCATGCATCTGCTCCTGTCAGAGGTCAGGAAATGCATTCTTGGGAGCTCTTCATCTCATTGGCAGATAAAACTATCTTTGGTTGTGAGTGGCAGTGCACAGAGAGCTCCCCATGTGCAAGACTGCTGTGCTACATGTGCATGCAGGATGCCAGCAGTGTCTGCACCAGCCCAGGTGTACAGAAACAGCTCCTTATCCACTGCTTCTCTTGCCCTCTGTCAAATGCTGAGTACCTCTCCAGAGGGGAACCCAAGAAGCTCTCATGATCTCTGGACTCTTCACATATAAAATATGCCTATGCCTAAAAGATTTAATGAAATGTATGTTTCTTGGCTTCCAATGTGATGCTTTTCCAAAAAAAAAGGTTAATTAGAATGATCTTGAGCAGAGCCAGGAGCTAGAACTCAAAGAGTGTATATTAGGGAACTTTATGCTATCTGGAGAATGGAAATACCTTATAATTTAATTTAGGAATCTTATAATTAAGGGATTGGCTTCTCTTGGATCTCATTTTCTAGAATGCCTAGCACTTGGTATGTGGAGAACACTCTGAATATTTAAATCCAAGGCAGTTGCACTCAGTGCAGATCTGCTGAAAATCGATTGCAGAGAAATCCCTTTAGAGCCACCGTGATGCCTGTGCACTGAAGTACTGATAGGAGACATGGGTTCAGGTAGACTGAGCAAACCTCTGCAGCTCTGGAATTACAGCAATGGCTTTTAATAACTGTGGCTCCTTCTATACCCTTGAAGCATCATCCTACAGTTGTGCTCCTTTCAGCTGTAGTGAGAAAGTGATTTTCTGTTCGTTCCATGAGTCACTTTCTCTTACCATCTAAAACAAGACACAGGTTTGCCCTTTAAGATGGAGATTTCCAACTTAGCCAGCCTATTCATCTGAAATGCTAGTTTAACTGTAGCATGGGAATTGACTGTATTTGTGGTAGTTTGAATGTGGAGGCAGTGACAGGAATGTGCAAGCTGGTATAACATGCAGCAGTCTGAGTGCAGGTTTCTGAAAGCAGCTGTACCTCACCAGAATTTTTTACTGGTGAATTTAGTGTGGAAGAAAATGTAGCACCTCAGGACTGAGGGGATACAGCTTATGCAGAGCATAGAACTTTGATTGTAGCTCCCCAAAAGCCACAAAATTGTAGTAAATATATTTTCCTGGAAAAAAAAAAAAAAGAAAAGAAAAAAAAGGGATGGGGCTCTGTAAAAAGTTCCTGTGTTTCTTCTATGACACACCCAAAATAATGTTCTGATTCACTGTCTCTGCTTTTAGCATGGAAAAACTGCACTAGCCACAGCATCAAGGAGCCATCATGCCCTCATTGTAGATATGATCATTAAAGCAGACAGGTATTTTGCCATGCAACAGGTAAGAGGCATTTTTCATTAAACACAAGATAACTAAGGGAAAAGCCAGTTCTAATTTTGAAGTGCCTTTTGGTTGAGGTGGTTCCTTTTGGCAGTCAGGAAGATTAGCCTTGATGAACTAAAGTTACGATTGGGAATGGGAAAGCCTCTAGCCCATCCAAGCTTTATTCCTGACTGGCTGTAAAACTGTAAGCTGATTTTACCATTCTCCTTCCTTGTGCTCTGCACATAAAGGGATGGAGAGACATTCTAAGCCAAATCCAAGCTGTGCCACCAGCATTGTGGCTGGGATAACATGGATCCACATTGACTCCTGAATCCATGTTTACAGGTACGGTAAAATCTGCAGCTGAAAAATAGGAGTGAAGGTGTCTGTGACTCCTTTACAAGAGCTCAGCTACTTCGACAGGAGCTCCCTCTTCTGTTCCTTGTGTGTTAACTATAAAATTAAATAAATGATATGGAAAAGAGCTTCACAACAAGTGTGAAGGACATGGCTTATGTTGTCTGAATTTCACACTTTCTTTCCTTACTTGTTACTTAAATGTACACTGCATAGTGATGGGCCTCTCTAACAGGCTACAAGTAACTGCCATATCATTTTGTGACTTCATTCTCACTTCTGCTTCCTGCTGAGTTAGCCAAGTGTAGAAGCATACTGATCCTACCTGATACCTGAAATTAGCTGGTTTTACCACCCCACTCCTGTCCTGAGTGGCCAAATCCATGACACTTAATTAATTGTTTTGATTACAGGGCTGGTAAATCACAGATCTAGATTAATTACTGAAAAAATGCCTCCATGTATTGTCCAAGCACTCTGTATTGTGCATTTTATTTGCACCAGTTCAACTGGAATTGCCAGGTACATTATTGTTTATTCAGCTTAAAGAGGAATTAGAAGTAGTCTGTTGCCACAGAAGACAAGTCTGACAGCAGTAAGCTCATAGTGTTCTTAACCTCTTGGCCTTGTTCACTGAATTTTCTGAAGAGAAGAAAAGGTGTCAAGCAGATGCTTTTCTGCAGAACCACCAGAGATTTTGGGAAATACAAACGTAAGTGTTTGTATCCTGTTGGCTGAAGCTGAAAGCGTGGCCTTTGGAACAGCTTAAATCTTACAGCTATGGAATATGATGTTGTTCAGGTTGTGTTATACAGGGAACTACAGCATTTTGAACCGTTATTATAAGGATTTTTGTTACATTCAGCTAACTTATCATTCTTGACAAAACATTAGCTACAAAAGGAAATGTCATGTAGCTGAGAGGAAGGACACATGATACTAAAGTGTGTCATGTCTCTGTTTGCCCTTTTTTCTATTTATCACTTCTACCCAGCCCTTCCCTATTATTGTCCAGGCTGGTTTTAACTGGATTTGAGGGCAGCTGTTATTATACTAAGCTGTTACACCTTGCCATTGCCTCAAAACACATTTAGTAGCTAAGAGAAGCTGTGCTGCTACAAAGAGTTTTTCTTGTTTGCTTGATGGTTTTTTGTTTTGTCGGGGGTTTTTTGGGTTTTTTTTTTAGTTTTTGGTTGGTTTTTTTTGGGTTTTTTTTTGGTTTTTTTTTTAATTAAACATCACAAGAAAAGGATCTAGTCCGAGACACCCTGAAGTTGTCCTGTAGAATGTCCTAAACTTTACCTTACATGTGTCAGGAAGCATAAAATAAAGTATGCATCAGATGAATGGAATCAAACATACATGACAATACTTAGTTACTGAACTGTAACTTATTTTCTCTGTAAGTCTCTCGTAAGATTAGGAAATAATTCTGCTGTATTTTTCTGAATTTAATTTGGAATGAAGCACTTTATGCTTAGCATTTTTAAAATGTGGCCTACTGCCATTTCCCTTTTTTGCTTAGTATCTACTTTGTCATCCTCTATCAAATTCATAAAGAAATTCTTTCCCTTTGATGATTGATTTGAAGCAGGACCAGTACATAAACATAGTGAAATACAGAAATAGCTGGAGCTCACCTACCTAGGAATGTTCCTGGGCACAGCTTAGCTAGGACTGAATTCACCGATTGACATGGTTTTTGCCAAGGTGCCCAAGGCTTGAGGTAACCCCATCGCTCCTGTTTCGGGTGAGCCATGCATACAGCAGCAACATCACTTTTAATCTGGAGGGTAAAATCCATGTGGTTTTGGTTTCTATCTGATCTTATTCTTGCAGGAATGAAACTAGATCCATGCTCAACACAAATGCATATTGGTGATTAGACACTTTGCTGAATGGGGGTCCCCACGAAAAACCTAATGGCTGATGGTGCCAGCAAAAGATCTGGAAGTCCCCACTTCAGCCAAGTGAAGCTGACAGGGCAGAGACAGGAACAGTTTGAGCAGGTCCTGTTGCCAGTGGTGCCTACCCTCTTTCTGGGGAGAGATTAGTGCTTTGAGAAGCAAGAAAAATGGCTGAGAACTGAGCCTGAAATCCAGCTGTGTTCTAAAAATGACACACAGAAAGAGCCAAGCAACACAGCAGTGCTGGCACAACAGTTGCTGTTACTTTGCATTTATGTGTCAAGTAACAGAGAAAGTGGCTTATTTTGCAGTTAGCAATACATAGCATCAGACACTGGAACTCTTTGTTTCAGTTCTGTTTCTATGAGCCCTTTACAGGGCTTTACAGTTCATTTAGAGGCACTGAGCAAATCACCTGTCAGCAGCTACAGCTGTACAGGACACTGCTCACTGAGCAAAGGTTCCCAGCTCTGTTACAAAATTTACCATCTGCTTTCTTTTTCAGACACATCTAGCTCATAGTGGTAATGGGTCAGACTTCAGTGTGTCCTTCAAACAAGATCACAGTACACAGACCAAGCAAATCCGTTCCTGCCTTTGGAATTTAGCATACAACTGGTTAAAACCCCGTGAATGGAAAAAACTGGCTGCGTTCTGGAAGTTCACAGATGAACAAATTAAAGCTATTGAAGAACAGTGGACAGGTAACAATATCTGAATATAATATATAGAACCCCACATGGCAGTGTTGCTTTTTAAACAATGTATCACCTAGTGAAGGGGTACAAGCCTTGTCTCTGTTTCCTGGGAAGCAGTGCTGTTAGCAGGACAGGACACTTCTCCCTCTTGGCCTGAAGGAACCTTCCTCTTTGAGGATCAAAACTAGAAGCCATGAGCATCATAGAAGGGTCTTGGGGATCATGCTGCAAGTGAGGACCCAGAGAACCTCATGACACGGAACAACTCTGCTAATGCTCTGTCTGCACAGGTGCCATGAAACAGGAATTTCTGGTTTCAGGCCTCCCAAGTGCTGGGAAAAGAGTACTTCTACAGCACATATTGTACTTGTTACTACTACTCCAGGGTATATTTCCACAGCTTGGGAAAAAATGAAAGGAAAAATTAATTTTAACATATATTAGGTATTTTTTATGTCTTAAGAGCAGTGTTAGAATAAAACAAGTTTTTTTTTTTTAAAACTTCTAAAAACTTTTCTAAGCTTCAGTCTTCATTTTTTTGCTAGATGTGAAAGGTGATAAATGAGTAAGTTTGAAACCTCTTGGAAGTTTTAAAGTGCAAAAGCACAAAATAGTGTTTCCAGCATATTGAACAAATACTTTGTGTATTGCATAGGGAAAAAAAGTTACAAGGAACATGGAAACAGAATGTTGCTCATCTGGTTACATGGTACCTTGCTGTCTCATCAGAATCCTGTTAAACATCTGTAGGAAGATCTGGTGGAAGCAGGATTTCAGCCTTTAGCTGGTAAGTCGATGCAGAGCACATTACAGTGTCCTCTGTGAGACTGCAGTGATGTGTTGAGGTCCCTGATGGTGCTGGGAAGCTGTGGCCAGGGCAGGGATGGATTTCTTCTTTTCCAGGACTACCCTTCCTGAGGGTGAGGCTGATTGAAAAAAAGCTTTTATGTCAGGCTTAGGATTTCTAAAGAAAGACAAGCGCAAACTTTGCTTCCCTCATCTGTCCTGCACACATGATTAAATTGTGACTGGCTGCTCTTCAGTTAGTGTGACCTTGTGCAAAGCAGAGCACACCAATCAAGGATTTTCTCTTACTTTACAGAGAAGATCAGAGCTTCAATCAGCATTGGCATGGACTCCAGGAAAGGTGTCATTTCATGAGCATCAACAAAACATGGCATATATGATGGAATTACAAGCCAGATGGAAAGTGGCTTTCAAATATCTTTTTGGGAAACAGAAAATCTATTTTGAAGTTGTACAGCTTTTTCCACCCTAGAAGAATTTGCATTCCTGAAATGGTTACTTTTTTTCTCAGATGCTTGCTATACAGAAATGTAAAAAAATTAAGAGCAAATGGTTGACTGGTAGTTTGTAACTGCTAAGCAAGACTCACCAGTTACAATTTCTAACCTAACACTGATAAAGTAATTCTGCATTGGAACTGCAAGTTAAGCTACTTGGTGTTTGGTGTGAACTGTAAATAAGATGTTTTCTGTAAGAAAAGATTAAATTTAATACGTGAAAGTTATGTGTACAAATAAATTAACACTTGCAGAAATAAGCTGGCATCTGCCTCATTTAGGATTCAAGTTTTTATAAATTCTTGCTAGGATTATAACAAATATTTCTACTGCAGCATTTGATTTACGTAGTGAAGAAATACAAAAATGTCATATGTAAACACCACGTGTGTCTAGCTGCAGAATTTTCTATCACAGCATGACCCCAAAAGAGCATCCAATATTTAATACTTAACACATCTAGCAATTATTTGCCTATTTCTTGTTCATGTCTTGAATTAATACTTGGCAGTGTCCTGCTGAATATGTTCAAATGTTTTCTTATTACTGGCTATATTTAATTCTGAAAAATTATGTAAATATCTATCTTCTGTCTTTTCTTTATAACACAGCAATAGTTTTATCATATAATAGAGGAATTGAATTGTCTTTTCTGTTTGCATATAGCTAGAATTATTTTGTGCTGAATCCTAGTGTTTGTACTGAAAAGGTGATCTGTATCTAGTCTGAAGTGTTATTCCAAACTGCCCTCTTGTGTGCAACCTTCTTTGACTTGGCTGCAGAGCACCCCAGGAATACGAAGAACACACTGGTAAACCCTAAGGTTTTGGAATTAGGGATCTGAAGTACAGATGCTGGGACCCCTACAGTATTCATCAAGTTCTGCAACATTAGCTTGGAAAATTAAAATGTTTAAGAATTTGATGGACTGGGTACCTCATTTAGCCTAAATTGGACCCTGGGGGTAGAGGATGCCACCCTGCTGGTTTCCATTTAAACACACTGTTGTAGGATATAATTAAGGTGCATGTCAACTTACTTGCATAAGCAACTAAAAGTGTTTGTAACAAAGACATTTAATTTTCTTTTGAACATAGATGTTAGTATCATTGGGATTAAGCAAAGCGATTCAGACAAAAATCACATTGTATTCTTTATTTAAGTGTGCAAAAGCTTCCTTAAATAAAAAGTGTTTGTCTTAATAATAAAAGTTTGGAGGTAGAACAACAGTTCAATTACTTTTCCCCCCCTCTCCAGGTTTTATTATAAAAGCATTTTTACTTAGAAAAACCTTCCTTTTTTTTAGAAAAGGTTAAAAACATGATATGTACCTTAGGCAGGCCTTACTGCATCAAATCTGAAAAGACCAGGAAGAGATACCTTGATAAAAACCCCAACTGGTAAGAAAGACAGTCAGTCAGTCAACAACTTTTATTGACTGAACAATGGTATGAGTTTGGCCCTGAAGCACTCGCCCAGCTTGTCCTGCAGGTCTTGAAGAGGTAGAGCCAGAAGAATGAAGCACAGTTCGAGGATATTTAGCAGCAATGGCTTGTGATATTGTTTGCTGAAAAGTAACCAGATACAACAAAACAATTAATGGCACAAAAAATTCACATTAAAATAGCTCTAGGTGAGCTGTAGTTTAAAAAGAAAGACCTGCAGTCCAGCAAACTGAAATACAATTATCAATAAGGAAAAAATAAATGGTCATTTAACGGAAGGAGTAAGTCTTTTTCCTTTCTTATCTGTAATACCCTTTTAGAATACAAAGTGCTACACTTCCAGTTAACTAAGTAGCTTGAGCTTTTATCACCTCAATCTTATTTCAAGGTTGGTTTGTTTTATTTTTTTACCATACTGTTCACAATTTTCCCTGTAGTGCTAACAACTTTTCTTTTGAAGTATTTGCTATGAGGCAGTCTCTGAAAGACCTTTGAAAAGGAAAGGTTTGCTATTTTATCAAGAATTAATTTTCTGCCCATAAAACTAGCCACCTTAGTGTAATAAACAGTAGTCATTCTACTTTTAATCAAGGTAAATTCTCTTCCCTCTCAAATTAACTCAAGACAAATACTTAGACTTAGATTTTTATTTGCAAAATGGGTATACAGAATATATCTCTAGGGCTGTCACATTAATCTACATTTTTAGAAATCAGTTTTTGTTACAGTAGTTCAGGTACTTTCCTTGTCACACTAATGACAAAATCCGAATCCAGAAATTGTTCTTAATGAAATAATTGCCACACTGAATCTCTAAACTCCTAAGAACATACAATTTAAATATTAATTCCTGCTTAGGAGCCCAATTCTTGAAAGCTATGAGCAAGCCATACAACTGTGAGCCATGGCAGGAAATGGGGGCCTTTCCTGCTTTTGGTACTGCCACACTGGTGAGGGGACTGGGGGTGCTTGTGAGGTTGGGAGGAGACAGAGCCAGGACAGGTGACCCAAACTGACCAAAGGGAGATTCCAGACCATGTGGCACCAAGCTCAGTGTATGAAGTGGGGACAAGAAGCAGGAAAGGGGGGGGGACATTCGTGGTGATGTCATTTCTCTTCCCAAGTAACGATTTTGCATTATGGGGCCTGACTCTCTGGAGATGGCTGAACACCTGCCTGCTCATGGGAAGCACTGGATTAATTCCTTGGTTTGTTTTGCTTATGTGCACTGCCTTTGCTTTCCCTACCTTTTTCTCAACCCATGAGTTCTACAGCTTTTACCCTTCTGATGCTTTTCCCAAACTCTCTAGTGGGGGTGTGGGTGAGGGGCTGTGTGGAGCTGCTGCCTGGGGTTAAACCATGACATCTCACCAGTGCCTTCTACACAAAGGCAGTAAGTACTGTTTGCTGTTTTCAATAGGCTTCAAATCTGAGCTTTGTCTGATACCTCTTCACAAGATAACTTTTCTCCAAACTGCTACCAGACATGTTGTAATAAAAATACTTCAAGAAGTGTAATCTGATTTACCTGAGTGACTGGATGATGTTTCTCAACAATGACTGAACTCATTGGTGGAGCAACTCCCATCACTGTTAAACTCCCAGAAGCTCTGGATTTTTGTCCCATATCAGCTCGGCCTGTGATTCGAGCAGTGATTGTTCTTCCTGCTTTCTGTTGTGCAGATGTTATTACTTTTGCTGTGGGCTATCAATAAATTGTGTAAGTATTAATTGGTAAAAAATTCTAAACATTATTTGCAATGCTTTAGTGCTTCTGCTCACTTTTATCTGCCACATGCCCACATGGAACAGGTAATGTTGCAGGTAATGCAGTTACATTACACAGGACTGAATTTGCTCCACCTGGCTGCAACCAGGATTACTCTGGTTTTTTTCTCTCATGAGATAGCATTTCAAGCAAATTACTTCTGTCCTGAGGGAAGTAAGACTAATTTGACAAAAATGAAGCAGCATGGATCGTTTAGCTTTGCTTGCTGATTGCATGCTTGAGTGACAGCTGAAGGTACTTCTGTCACTGTGGAAATCCTTTCTAGCAGTGAGATAGCAGATAATAAAAAGCTCTCATGCATACAATAATGCAACTTTCTCTGACAGCTGATAGCAAACTATGTCAAATGTGGAAAAGAAAGTAGGGCAGTTTAGCACAAAGCACAGAAAAGAGAATAAGGGAGAAATTTCAAAGAACGGGATAACAAGACAGAGCACCTTCTATAACTAAAGGTTATCAAGTCAAACGCCAATTGTTCCTGTTGCACTTCTATTCTTCATTTTGCCACACTGCCCTATCTACAGAAAGAATTTAAAACTGCTCCTAGCATAAATGAGTTTATGTAACATAAATGAGCATTTGCAAGCTAGCATCTTCATACTGGTATGTGAACTCTGTCAGTATCCTCAACTACAGATCTGTATTGCTCTGAGAAATGCACAAATAACAATACCCAAACTAATATTTGTTATGGTTATGCCTTAAAATTAGAAAAAAAGATAACTTTAGCATGTTACCAGTTTTTGAGTTGATGTCAGACCCGATGTTGATGTTGTGCTAGCAATGATTATTGGAGAATCAGAATCTAGTCTAGTCTCAGATGTGCTTGCATGAGCCAGGTGGCTAGAAAACTGAAATGAAACCAGAGTTTACACAGAATGAGTATTACTTCTGCTTTCTAGAAAATACAGTTTTACTGCTTAGATAGTTAGTTTTTTGACTATGCCAATTAGCCTTTTAATTGTAATGTCTTTGCAGATATTATCTCTTTAGTGTTACTGTTTATTGCTAATTTAGCATCACTTGTCTAAAAACTGTAGAAATGGTGTGAATAACATTTGTCACTATTAGAATGAGAAGTCAGGAGAGAGGCAAGCACATCATCTCTGTCCTAACCTATTCTCTAGCATGATACTGTTCTACAGTGGCAAAGTTTTCAGGATGACTCCAGGGCAGGTCCAAAACAACCAGGCTATTAGAGGATGATCTGGCCAAGTTGATATGATAGTACAATAAGTTGAGTTCCCTCAATGTCTGTATGTGTTACACCCCTAAAAAAGAAGTCTGAAGTCAAGCCAGCTTTTCATCTTTCCAGAGTATATTAAATTCAGTTTTTTTTAAAAAAAACCCTCTTAACAACTCTTTTTTCCAGAGAGAACCTTAGAGAGAAAATGATGTTTATTATAGCAACCTTGTCTTAATTAGTTTAATGCATTTTCACTAAAATAAAAAAAGAGCTTAATGAAAGTACAGCAAGCCACAGCAGCCATGCCCCAGTCACTTCATTTTCACAGTGCAGTCTGAACACTCCTGCACATTTCCTTTTAGATCTGGACTCTCTTCAAAAAAGCCTCAGTCAAGTAATTTCTTTTTGAAAATAAAATTCTGTTCCAGCCACATGCTTACCATATTTTCCATGTGAAGAGAAGCTGTTGGTGGAGGTGGTGGTGAAGGTTGACTATATTGTGAAGGAGGTAGCCTTCCTGCACCAGTGGTAGCATTATCACTTCTCCTGCTTCCTGTATCTATTATTAGAAACACAACGTAATGGGATAAGTACATGATCTAGCTAACCCTAAGGGGTGGGGATATGGGGGAAGGTAAGTTAAAACAAAAATTTTAGTATGTCTTTGGGCTTTCTGTATAATCTAATTAAAAAAAGCAGGCTGTTCTTTATAGAGGTAGGTAGGTAGACAGATATAAACAAACATTTCTGCTTTTTACCCTCTTTTGAGATGTTTGTAAATGTTTTTCAAGGGGCCTGTTTCTCTGTTATGTCTCAATACCCCCATGGCACATGTCACCTACTTGTAGTGCAAAGAACTGAGGTTCTTCCTACTGCTTGCCAAAACTTAAACCAGTGTGCAAGAGGTGCTCTAAGAGACAAAATCCAGTTTAGACAGGAAAACACAAAGTTCATACTGGACTTCTGTGAGGGCACAAGATCCTTAAAGGAGCTTACTGGCAGTAAAATAAAATGTTACGCATTAGCAGCAGCATCTCATCCCCACATAAAATTGCTGGACAGTGGCCTCATCCTGGCTGTAGGGCTGGGACAATCTACAGGCACCCTATAGCTCTCACCTCCCCTCACCAAGGTAGGTTGGCAAGCATAAACTTGAACAAAATCCATCTGGGATACTTTTATCCCACATTGTGACATAAATGGCATCACTAGGGATGCCAGATCTGCAGACATAAGCCCAGTCTCTTTTCTAAACACTTCCAGTCTTTTCCTTTTAGAATACAGACTTCCTTAAAGGAAGGAGAGAGAGGTATTCTTATTTAGTCTCCTGTTTCTGAAGAAGCTGATGCTAGCAGGAGTTCCAGGACAAAAGAAATTTGCTCATTCCAGGAACTAGAGTGACACCATGTGGTAATTGTGTTTGTGTTTTTTCATTAGCTGAAATAAGCAGGAAAAATAAAAAGAAAGTGCTTCAAGTCTGTGCAATACTTGTAGACATCACGAGTAAAAGCATGCCAGAATATGCATTTTGTACATATTTATGAGTGTACACACACATTAAGCTTAATCACAGACTAGACCAATGCAGTAATGGACCAGTCAGATCTGATTCATGTTACTGAAGAAAAACAGTGCTAGGATTTTTATAAGCAAAAGTTATGAATTTCTGCGGCTTCAGTGTTCCTTTGAATATATAAATAGGTTAAAATAATCTTAATATACTATTAATTAAAAAAAAAGTCAGCAAATGAGGCAGATAACTTTAACTCCATTAACACTAAATATTATGAAGCCATTAAGGTTGTGATACATGCACACTATTAATAAATACATTATAATGAGATATGTATTTTACCTGTAGATTGTGTGTCTATTAAGTATATATTAAAATAACCTAATAATAAACGTGTAAAGGGGTGAAATTCTGCTTTTTATATCCAATTACAGTAGGTGGCACTGCAGTGTTCATATAAATTTATAATTGCTGACAGATTCTGGCACATGTAAGTTTTGATGTCCACAGATTAAAAGACTAGAAACACATCACAATCATCTGAGAAGGTGGTATCAGAGGTGGTGGAACCTGATGACCTACTTGGGACCAAGGACTCTCACAGAGTCTGTAAGATGTTATGCAGCCTGATAAAAAAAGCATAATAGTGGGCACACAATAAAATGAGCTACAGGTACTCTAACATCCAGCACAGCAAAATCTGTAGATGTGCTGGTGTAGAGTATTAGTTCCAGCTTCTTAGTAGGAATCAAGCAAAATCTTTAGTCCATGAAACTCGAGGGCTGGTCACAACTATGCTAGAGCTCGGTTTTCCTCATTTCCTTACTACTTACTCTTATTTTTATAGGTATACAAAAACAATGCTTTCACACCAATTACCCTTCATTATCAGGGAGACCTGTTGTCTCTGCTGCATGTTTTTGAAAACAATAAACAAACAAATAAAAGATAATGCTTCAAGATAGAATAATTCTTTATTAGTAACATGGTGATAAATAAAATACTTGGGAAATGCCCTGTAATTTTATTCCCAAACTCAAGATCTTCAAAAAATCATTCATTCTTAAACTTCTACAAATACTGATCCTAAATTTTTACTAGCACACAGGTACTACACTTAGCTAATTTCATATTAATTTCTTAAGTACACATGCTACTATTAAGCACAAATAAGTTTTACACATTAAGCACTTACGTTTTACAGGCTTAGACAGCTGCTCAGGTAAGTATCCTCTTACATATTCAGGTTTTTATTTCCTTTTCCTATCTACCTTTTTTAGTGAACAATTCCTCTAAAGTAGTTCAGAAACTTCTGTGCAAGATTGTTTAATTTAGCAATGGAAGTTACTTGTCTAAGGCCATTAACAACTGCTTTCAGTTCAGCTGGCTGTCGAGCCACACGTATAGCTGTGGCACTCCTGCAGCTATTTTCTCTTTAACGTAGGTTGCTGTACCAGCATGATTATGTTCCCACTGCTACGGATTGCCTCACTCCGAGGGAGTGATTTCATTACATCCGTAAGCACGTGCAGCTCTTCCCTGTGTAGCTGAACAGGTTTTACGGGTATGCTGCTGATAAAAATAGACTGGTGCTTCCTGTTCTGGCATGGAGTTACTACTAAATACAGAACCTGGGAGATCTGCTTGCCCTTTTTACATTCAAAAGCAAGATTAAGAGAGAAGGAAGAGCTGTCTGGGAAAAGCTGATTCATTGTACGCTGAGATTCCAGAGCATAAAGAAATTTTCAGGATTTCATCTTCACTGCTCCATAACCTCGTATTTTAAGAAATTTGCCACCTCTCACTTCTTGTTCTGCCTTCAGCTGCATGTTATCCCTCTCCCAGCAATGCGGGATGAAGAGAACACGTTCCTCCTTTCAGCTACAGCAGTATGAAGCAGTATGAAGTCCAGCACCTGAGTATTTCTCAACATATTCAGCTGGACTACTGCTTTATTCTAAAGCACTGAGAGTTTAATAAACTCCGTATGGCCAAAAATTCTCAAATTTAAAAAAAAAAAAAAAGAGAAAAAACAAACAAACAAAAAAATCCCAAACAAATCCAACAAAAATACACACACACTACCAGATTAAACTTGCTATTCATACTAACCAGGCTCCGGCCTACTGTCCTTGCCTTGGAACATGCTCATTGCTTCCAGATTCAAAGCACATACACCACGCATAAAGGCTTTCTTCATGGTCTCTTCATACTGATCTCTTTCACTATGCAGTCGCAGAATCTCAGCTTTTGTCTGTTCCAAAGCAGCAGTTAACTATGAAACAGAATGAGGAAACAGGTCTCTCTTATTTCTTAATGCAATCTACAAACATATTCATCAATTAACTTTCAAAATCATTTATTATATTTAAAAATACAGAATTTTTCACTTGAAAATCTCTGCTTCACCAGAGATGAACAGCTCATTGAAGTTTCTTGGTAGTACAGCACAATATTAATAGTAGAGTGTATCAAAGACAAGACTATTGAAAAGGACCGTCAGACTCGACCTATGCAGAAATATATTTTGCAAACTTTTGTCTTTTAGAAATTGGCATCTGGCACAACCCAGATCTCTGCAGAAACATGGGCTCATTCAACAGAAGAGCAAGCATTCTCAGACAATTATTTAACTATAAGGGTAAATTTTCATCACCAGTTCTTCTCTAGATACTGTAAAAAACTAAAAATGCTGAGAACAGAGCAAGTTGTTACTTATGGTTTTTGTTCTCCTGAGACACATTTGGCAAACCTGTTTTTAAAATTCTAGGTTTAATTTCTTGCTGAAATACAAATCTCTTAAAAGTTGTATTTTAAAACTGATTACTTAGCATGCACCAATACACAGCTGACAATTTCACCTTTAGCTCTGAAAATTCTTTAACAAGCTTAATCAGCAAGCTAAAGAAAAATCAAACTTAATTTCAGCCTTTAACAGAGTAGCTATTACAGAAAAAAATATTGTACTCATTATGATCATTCAAAGTAATAATGGTCTTCTCTTGCCATTGTCTTCTTCATTAAGATCTCAAAATGCATAGCCCATACTAACAGGATGTTGTTAGAAAACAAATGGCATTCCCATTGGTAGGCAAACATAAATGTGCCTAGTTTCAGGAAAGCTAAATTTATGTCATCTGTGCATGCAGATTGGCAACATTTTATATCAGATGCAGGGAAAAAAGTTATGTCTGGAAACATAACAGAGATCTTAGATCCATTCACGTCTTCCCACAGAACAGGGAGCCCTGTTCTGCTGGAAAATACTCACGTTTGTTAGGTTTGCTGAGAAAGAGATATTTGGAGGGACAGGGATTGAGAGTCAAAGAGCAAAAGAGGGAAAAAAAATTGATTTTACCTCTGCAATTTTGGCTTCATAATCATTGGTGAGCTGAACACAGACATCTTCTGCCCTTAACTGACAGGCTTTTGCTACTTTGTCTTTCCATCTTTCTTCACTAAGAGAGCGCCATGCTGCCCACACTTTTTTCATCAAAGCTGTACGGAAATGTGCATCTGCCATTCTAACTGCATATTCCTTAGGAAGTAAATACAACCACATCATATGAAAGTTCAGGCTTGATAAAAAATCTGGTACTCCACTGTGGATGATTGTTTTACAGTTTATTACATAGACCACAGCAGAAACCTCTTAAGTGAGTTACAGGTCCTGCAGTGAAGTCTTACACAAGCAGCAGCAGCTCAGTGCTGCCTCTGCACATGTGCCATGGCACATTACCAACCCCACCACGAGAAACCATGCTTGTGAACTCCCAGGCTACACATAACTGTGGTCTTACTCTTAGTTTAATGACACTCAAACAACAACCTCACATACAATGTAAAGAGATGTGTGAAGCCATTTGCTGGATATGTGGCACATTTGGATTCACTGCAGGAATCATACAAAACTTGCAGTCAAAAAGATTGCAGATAGTTAGTTTAAAACACTTACCTTTTGAATATATTTAGACTTACAAACTGTTTAAAAAATTACCTTAAAACAACCCTACTATTCAACTCTGTATCAAAATCGTCAGCAGACACTGCTTTCTCCCCATTCCAGAGAGTATTCTAACAGCAACGCTCTTTTTAGAGCTGATCTTTTCAAACTGCTTGACACTGTCAAACACATCAAAATAGAAACACCATAATTTCTTCAAACTCTAACAGGAACTGCAGCAGCTCTGGCTCTTGAGTTCAGAGGTTTCATTTTCATTGCATTTTGATTTTGTGCACATACCTCTTGTTTGGCTTTAACATGCTGAATCCTCCAGAGTGTAAACTTTCTCATCAACTCTACTCTGTCCGTTTGCTTTTCTAATGCTTGGGTTAAGTTAGTAATTACCTGCAAAAATATTTATTAACACTATTAAAATAGCTGTGATCGTTGTAAGGTCAAATAGAATGTACTTTGTCAGTTATTTTTCACTTAAAGCACTTGCTTTTAACAGATGCTTTCTACTGAAACTTCCCCTTACTCTAATCAACTAAGACACAATAATCAGAGTTCAAATCAGAAGTAAAATTCCTGTGACTTCAACACTCAGATTGTGACACTTCCATTGTGTAGCTTTAGGAGAAGTTCAACTGAATTGTTATTTCCTCCTACATTTGCTGGTTTCTGAGCTATTTTCTCATAATTAAATGTTACTGTAGCATAACATCAGAAGAATCTCTTGTTTCAAAGAGAATTTTGATAAATCAGAAACATTTATATTAGAAGTTTGTTTTACTTGTCTGAACAGAATAAACAAGCTAGGTTGTTGCTTATTAAAAATCTTATTAAGAATTGTTACTCTCTTCAGAAATTCTCATGAAAGATATTCTATAGGCCCTTAGCAATTAAAACATTTGAGAGGTAAGACAGAGTACTGGATAGAGACTGCAACTGGGGACTTTTACCAGCAATCTCTAAATTTAATGAGTACACATAAACAGCTGAAGTTCCCCAATTAATAATTAAACCATAGAAATTTGGTACTGCAAATCTGAATATTACTTCATATTTCTGCCTAAATTCTTAAGCTAGATTCTGCCATCAGCCACATATGAGCAACTCCAAGTGTCAGTAGTGATCTATCTTGGGACTTTGGGGAATAATGTAAAGTTATTTTAACTACTGCATAAATATTGTCAAGAACAACATTTTATAATAATACATGGTAGCATATATTAACATTATATTGTATTTGTTACAAGTAATAATCATTGAACATACCTCAGTGGAATGAATACTTGAAATTAAAATAGAAAGCAAACTGATATATTAATTACTTTTGTTGAAAAAGTGTCAAAAAAATCAATTTTCAATGCTGCATACATGCTGCCACCCACTAGAAGTCTTAGCCTAAGTCTATTTTTGTTAATAAGTACATTTTTGTAAATTAAAAGCAGCTGAGATTTACAATGTGAAATAAGAATCTTTAATACTAGTAATATTTGTGAGGCTGATGGACCCCGGTTTATGTCCACATCAGGATACAGCAGTTTCTGTAATTATGGAGTGACATATGAATGCATGGGAGCACAGCCACCTTCCATTCAGGTGGCAGCAATAATAGTTTTCTATTAAATTTATTTATTTATTTATTATTATTTCTTGTTAGAACTATAAAATTGGCTGAAAAAATGATTTCTTTGGCAGCAGAAAACAAAATAGAGCTTTCAAGGTATCATTGAGAATTATGGCACATTAAGTATAACTGCCATACAATGATATCCAGCAGAATTAGATGTTTGAAAGATATAGGTTGAAATAACCATGCACATAGGTACTACTTTACATTGTACAAGACTAATTCTGTTACTGTAATGTTACAACATTTATATTTGCTTGGTCTGTAAGATTAGTCTGTTTTCCAAATGGATACACAACACCATATTATTCATATTTTAACTCCTGCAATGTATGTTTTTTGAAAATGTAAGTAGGAATTAGAAACCCAAACTCCATTAAGTGTTCTCAAGTAATAGGTTAAATGTTCAGGCTAGCAGTAAGAAGACCCAATGTTATGTTATGTGATTGCAAAACTGCCAAGATTTTACATCCACATTCACAGTTCCAGTTAATTTTGAAGTTGTTTACACTATTGACAGCAGGAAAGTGTAAACCAGGGACTCTCAAATGTCCAGTCTTAAGTAAATATATAAATGTAGTATTCCTAAGAATAAAATAGAGGCTCTTCAACATTTACAAGACTGCTGCCCATTTAAAATTGAGGAAATCAGATGCAATAGTTGAAAAGTTAGAGGCTTTTAAAGTGTGACAGCTAATAGGCTCACCTAAGCCTGTGTGATCTTTATGAAACAAATAAGAAACAAGAGTAGACTCTAGATTTAAGAAGCAAACAATGCAAAGTATGCATATATAATGTGTTTTCACTGTTAGTACAGACAACCCTGTCAACAACAATAATTATTTTTCTACTATATAGTCTGAATATATTATTTCCTTCTTTGTCATTTGCTTCAAAAAATATATTGTTCAAAGAGATGGACCAAAAGATGTGGATATTTTTAAACAGAGAGGAACTGTTAAAATATGAAATTGAGTTACTACCTCATCTTTCCTCCTAACAGAGATTTCGTAAGTATGAAGCAACTCCTTTAAGTTTTCCATCTCATTCTGCAGTTGTTTCAAATGTGCGGCATGTTTCTCTTTCTCTTGTTTCATTTGAAGCTTGTGCTGTTGAATCAAATCAAGTTTCCAGTTTTTCAGTTCAGTCAGAATATTTGTCTGAAAAGTTGAAAGGATGACAGTAATGCAATGAGTTTAAATTATTCCCTCCTCTCTATTATTTTAATCTTAAAACACTTAGCAAAATCAAAGAGACATATTTACAGAGATACCTTCATTAAACAGGCTGTAAAGAGATGACACAATGAACTATTGAATCATTATGTTGGAACATCCCTAATGGAGACAGTTATTCCAAAGTTTTTGAAACAAGATATTCTATGCTACATATGCTTATGTGCAATATGCAAAAACAACAAAATGCACCATTCTCCCAGCAATCACACTGCATCTGCATGATATCTGTGGATGCTTTTAATGATTCCATACAATATAAATACCTTAAGACTTCCACTCCAGAGATCAAGAATATTTTCTATTTGAGTGACTTTTTCATCTGGTAAAGTTAATTCGGTCACTATGGTTTTGCTGACTTCTCTTGGACCATGTGTGGATCCTTGAAAAGAAGTTGCTTCTGAAAAAGCAGGTTGTTCCATACCAGCCTGTTTCACTGATGTCAAGACTGAAAATGAAACAAGAGAATAAGGACTGACACTCTGGAAAGGCTAACTGGTCCACATTCTGAATGGAAGTCATAAGACAGGCTTTGGTAAAAAGGAAATAAAATATTTATGACACCAGAAATCTCCTTTCTCCACATTAGAAAAACCAATCCAATTCTAATACATGCTTCCTGGACACATATTTAAACTGACAATCCTACTGTAACATTAATAAATTAAAAAGTGCTGCTCCCTTAAGATACTGTATTTAACTTATATTAAGATACTCTATTTTAATATAAGTTAACCGAGTGCCAAAAATACAGTCAGAAATAACATCTCTACGTAAAGGCTTCTTGACAATTAACATCTCAGGTCAACAATCTACTAACTGTTGCCTTTTTCTTCAATGAGCCTGTAAACACCTGAGGTCTGTGGTGTTCCTTTATGAATTCACAAAGTAGCCTGTGGATATATTTCCATGTTAATATGTACCCACATCCATTTTTCTTAAATCCTTCAATTTGTTCATCTAATTAGAGTTCAAGCAATTTGAGAAAGGAAGTATCTACCATGAATTTATATAATGCCTTACACATTAAATCCTCACTTTCAGGAGCTGTGGCTAGGAACCACTGCAATAAAAGTTAATCTCTCCCCAAAAGCTAGTTTGCATGCATTTGAGCCGAGAATAAAGTTAATATTTAAGTAAACTTGGGAAGTAAAATATTGTTTTAAAATTAGTTACTCCTTACAAAAAAATTGTTATTTGAGTTGACAATTGAATAAAAGAAAATTAGAAAGAAGAGGCATTAGCAGATTTCTGCTAATAAGAACAAACATGACAACTTTAAAAAAAACCTAACATTTTAGTCTTCATTTCTGAAAACAAATATTGTCTGATAGGTACTATTTTTTGGTTCAGCCTAGAAGAGATAAGCTCGTCTGTCACAAAACAGGATCTTCAGTGGACACTAGGAAAGTGTGTTTCTAATTTATTTAAGGTTGATACTCTTTTACAGTTATTTTTACTGTTAGTTCACCTTTTCTAAGGAAATGAGAAGAGCTGTCTGGCTGACACTCCCTGCCATAAAACTGCTGCACTCATGCTCCAAAACAAAAGGAAATAAGGAATGCAGAGGCAGTTACAACTACTTTTTGATATTTCTCTCAAGGTAATACACAACCACACATCATGAAATTAACACCAGCTTGAGCTAAAGGAGTGCCATCTAACACACCATTTCTGTAGACTAAATGCCCTACCCTATTACAGAGGCAAAAGACCACAAAGAGATTAATCCCCATCACAGAGTATATTAAAATCAGGCTTTAGCTTTTTGTCATTGTTTCCCTTAAAAATGACAGAAGTATTGGTAAGGTAGTGGCAGAATTTGAATACTTGTTGCTTGTAAAAATCTCCAAAATATGTGACATGCCAGACAGATGATCCAGATTACTTGAAATGCATCTAATTTCTGTGACGAAGAATCTGGCTGGCATCTGACAATAAAATTATTTGGCACTGTTACCATTGTCAAATATTCACAGTTCTCTCCTTCACCACTTTTCCCCATTCCTGCATGCCACTCCTTCCTTCTGTTGTGACATGAAATGCAGGACATTTTGTTTTTATTTTTAACTTTTACCGCTCGGTTAGATTATGAAGATATCCAACCAATACAGCACAGTTTCTAAGATACCTTCCAAAAAAAAAACAAAACAAAACCAAAAAACAACCCAACAAAACAAAATGTATTGATCAAAACAGAATATTAAAATAGACTGACATCTGCCAAAGCCTGAGAATCACACTGCTACTAGTTCATCATTCTGTTCTCCTTAATTCTCCCTATGAACAGATTATTCTAGAACAGCTTTCATTTCTCTCTTTTAGCATAGGATGTGTCGTATCTTTACCGAATCCACCAAGTATATCTGTTACATGTTACATCATCTTATGAAATTCATCTTGGCCTTCCAGCATTGCCATAATTTTCTAGTTGTACACTTATTAATTTAATTCTTGTATCTAATGCTCTCCTGTCACCTCTGTTCCTTCCATAGAATTATATGTCATTCAGTTGCAGTGCACCAAGGTATCAAGGATATTGGAATCATTTGGATATGAGAAGTATAGAAATGTACTTTATTAAATAATCTCTACACACATTTACTGCAACAAATCTCTAGATGGAGGTAATGAAATTAGCTGTTTATCCAGATGTCTGTTACTACTGTTGGGTTTTTCTGTGTTGCTCTAGTATCCGACCCTTTCTGCCTTTATTAAGTAAATAAGCTCTGACAGACTGCTCTCACACGTGACATGCTATTAGTGGCCCAAGCTGAGTACAGCAATTTGCTAAAATGTTCCAAGAAGTCTAATGGACATATACTGAGGACTGGCAGGCCTGAAGAGAAGGATTTTTTCCAGTCTCTGAGTATGAGTCATCATTGCACATCTCTGCAAGAAATAATTTACTGCTTCAGTTTTAGTAATTTTCAAATTTAATCAACTAAACTGGTAACAAGAACAGGAAATTAAGTTTTATGTTTCAAAGTTTAAAAATATTAGGACATTGAACTGAATTGAACAGTGGAGTATTTTTACTCCATTTACTTTTCTTATTTGACTGAAAGCAGCTAGGGAAGATACTATGTATACCTAAATTTTCTGCAACAAATACAGATTACCAATAATCAGACTTCTACCATCATAATGGTAGCATCCAGACCAAATACTTCATAACCAAAACTTCATTTCAGAAGTCATTGCATACCATTGGAAACTCTATTGGCTCCAATACCATCACATGGAGGAGGGGAAAATAAATTATAAACTTGAGAAGCTCTGCAGAAGAGCAAACTTTCAGGTTTTAACTCCATGCTCAGCACATTCATTCATTTTGGTTTACAGTTACAGAACACTAACCTAATAATTTATGATTTTGTTATTTTAACAAAGTAGCAGAATTAGAGCCAAATGTCAAAATGTCTGATTTTTACTATGAACAAGGAAGCAGTGCCAAAAGAATGGAGTTCAATAAAAAAAGTAACTGTACTACAGAAACAACCTGAAAAACAATCCCACCTGATCAGCATTAGAGGTATGGTATTAAGCTTGAATCTAAGCATTAGAGTATTAAATTTGAATTTAACAATTTTCTCACTGTTCATTCAAAGTCTTGTTATTACCATAATTAAAAAAACAAAGTATTCTGTGGCCATTAGCACTGTGGTCAACACTACTTCAATACGTAATCACCATCAATCAGTACTAGTGATTATATAGAAGAGTTCAATATTGTGATCAGATCTTTTCCTCAAAGTTGAAATAACTTTTTTACAACTAAATTGTTTCAAGCTCTGTCTCAAGGAAGCATAACCCATCTCTCTCCCAGACTGAGAAGACATAGTGATATTTTGAACACCAAACACGTATTTTGATAAAGGAGCAAAGCAAAGGAAACTTGTTTATAGCATGTAATTGACAGAAGCAGGATGAGTCTTTGCAAATACTACTCTTGTCTCTTTTGCTCTCTGGGAAGTTCAGAAGCACCTTTTTTACTGCCTTTAATCACTCTTTTTTTTCCATTTTGAAAATAACAGAGAAATTGTATTTTGCAGGGTGCTGCCTTCTGAAAAGATAATAAATATCTGAGTGGCTCCTTGCCATCAGCAATACAACTCTTTTAATGAAAACTACAATGCAAAATTTTGATCAGCATCAAGTATTTCTATTTCTTTCCCCTGCTCCATGACAATTAACAAGAGCTTGCAAATGACAATTCTAGCTTGATAACACCAGGCGTATTAAAAAGATAACACTGTTCAAATATTTCAAGAGAAGCAACCAAGGGAATGGGATTTTGTCCTCTCACTTCTGTGGCCATAAAAACAAACAAAGACCTGATAGCCCATACATGTTTAGCCCCATGGAGTGGGTTGACTGTGGCTGGATGCCAGGCAGCCACCAAAGCTGCTCTCCCACTCCCCTCTGCAGCTGGACAGGGGAGAGAAAATATAATGAAGGGTTCATGGGTTGAGGTAAGGACTGGGAGAGATCACTCATGAAATACCATCATGGGCTAAGCAGGCTCTAATTAGAGATATTAATTGAATTTTTCACTGAAAAAAATGAGAGCAGGACAAGAAGTAAAATTTCCTGCATCCCTCCCTCCTTCTCACCTCTACCTCCTCCCCCACTGGCACACAGAGACAGGGAATGGGGGTTATGATCAGTTCCTCACACGTTACTCCTGCTCACAGAGGAGTCTTTCCCCTGGTGCAACGTGCGGGGTCCCTCCCATGGGAGACACTTCTCCATGAACTTCTCCAACATGAGTCCATCCCATGGGCAACAGCTCTCTGTGAACTGCTGCAGTGTGGCTCACTCTCCCATGGGGTGCAGTCCTCTGAGGACAGGCAGCTCCACTGTGGGTCCCCCACGGTGTCACAAGTCCTACCAGAAAACCTGCTCCAGTGTGGGCTCCATTCTCCATGGGTCTGCGTGTCCCTGCTCCAGTGTGAGCTTCCCAAGAGGTCACAGCCCCTTCTCAGACATCCACCTGCTCCAGGTGGGTCTCTTCCATGGGCTGCAGGTGGATCCCTGCACTGCCACTGGTCTCCATGGGCTGCAGGGGCACCGCTGTCTCACCATGGGCTGTACCATGGGCTGCAGGAGAATCCCAGCTCCAGTGCCTGGAGCACTGCCTGCCCCTGCTTCTCCACTGACTTTGGTGTGTACAGAGCTGTTCCTCTTGCATGTTCTCACTCTGTTTTCCTGTGGTCACGATTACAACTGTGCAATAACTTTTTTTTTTCTCAAATCTCTTAGCACAGAGATCTTACCATCACTTCTGCTTGGCTCAGCCTTGGCCAGCAGTATGTCCATCCTTTGGAGCTGCCAGGGACTGGCTCTGTTGGACATGGAGGAAGCTTCTGACAACTTCTTACAGAAGTTACCCCTGTAGCACCCCCACTACCAAAGTTTGGCCATGCAAACCCAATACCGCCCAAACAATATTAAAAATAGTATAATCCATCTGAAAGAGTTAAAGAGAGACAGGAGATTGGGTGGCCGGCTACAACTTTCTCTTCAGACAAATATGACAGACAATAGAGTATACAGGCATGTACCAGAAAACCACAAGAGTCTAGTGCTTTGATTCTGATATTCTTTCTCATGAGCAGCACTATTACACATCACAAAAATTCCTTTATAAAACAATATTCCACTCAAACTGGGAGACAAAACTCTAAGCAGAGAGAGCACTGAGGACAGTACCCAAATTAGAATTTGCTCCATAATACATTTCCACATAGCTGGGTTTGAAATTTTCTACTGCTCTTTTAAGAACACCAACTCAGGTTGAGAAACAGCTCTGGCAGCTTATATTAACGGCTTTACAAATGAAGCGTTTTACAAGTGTACTTGAATCATGGCAATATGTGACTTGTGATGTGACAGATCTACAATGGAAGAACGTTCAGAGGAGATAAGCCTTCGGCTCATGGAGCTCTGGGAAGAGTACAGTGAGTGACCATGGTTGTTTTAAAGAAAGCTGAAGTTATCTCAACACAGGAAGGGGCTTTGGGTGGCCTCTGTTTTTCATAAAAGGCTGAACCAGTTGAGTGAATCAACTGCTTGTGCAAGTGGCCTTAATTAATTGCGAACTCTATGCATTTCTGTGCAAGCCATACAAGGATGGCTTGAGCCAGCACAGTATAAAAACTAAGCAACTAGCAAAACTAACTACAGCTGGCTTTAACCCACACAGACTGTCGGAGCAACAGGGGACAGCTTGTGTCATGGTCGTTCATATACAGAGATCAGCAACAGCAGGCAGACCTGCACTGTGATCTGTGTACTGCAGACATTCTGCTCCTGCCATAACTGCTCATCCAAGTCCTGCTCAGATTTTGGCTAACACACAGACCATCCTAAGGCCTGGTGTATCCTGGGACTGGTGCCATGAGGTCAAGGTGAGAGCAGCAGCTAAGCAGGATTTGATGGACAGAAGGGCTAAAGGTCATTACATAGCTGCCATCACCTACCATTTACTATCTCCTGCAGCCTTAATCCTTCCATACAGATTGTCTAGCAGTTGCTTCAGAATCTAAAAACTTAGAGATAGTATTGACTAAACTTCCAAGTTGGAAGATATAAATATGTCACTTGCTCCTCTAAATAGTAGACATAAAGCCATCCACAAAGATTATAAAAGAGAAGACAGAAAGATAGCTAAATATTTTTATAATCAAATAGAATGATAAAGAATAGAAGCTAGTTTAAAGTAATTTTTTTCTGATTTTGCCTAACTTCCTAGAAAAGAAATAATGCAGGTGTGATTGTTTACTATTTCTTCTGAAGCAAAAATTAACAGCAAAGCAAAATTGTCAATCAAAGCAAAATTCTCAGTCTAAATGGTAGTGACAGAAGCAAAAAACCCAGTCAAAAATATCCATGTAACTAATGCATTGCAAGACATTAAGTTTAGAGTCCTAAATACCTAGCAATAAAATAAAACTAGAATAAAAGGATTGAACTGAAAGAGCAAGAATGACATTCATGTAGTGTCATGATCAGCCAATACACAAAGCCCTTTTAAGGTAATCCCTCTTTCCAAATAATTGTTGTTCCAATGTGCATTTCTCTATCATAGCAGTACAAGCTTGAGCACCACCAGCTGTTACCCATCAAATTTCAACAAAGTATACTGTAAGAAAGGATATCCCTTTTTCTGTTATTACATCAACAATCTTTAAACACATGCATCACAAAATATGAAGAAGTGTCGGCACATCAACACTGTCATCTGAAAGTGATGCCAAAGAGAACTCTTCAGGGAATATGCCTTCCTAAATTTCTTGTTGTGCAAAATGCAAATGTACTACAAATGTGTATTACATTTGTACATATATTTTTCACACTGAAGCTATTAAAAAATGTAAGTCACAAAAGTTGTATCATTGCTCTTGTAAGCTCAACACATAGCCTTGGTGGTAGTACCTGGAGTCTTATGGTGATCGGTATCATCTGTTACTCTTGAAACTCTGTCAGGCAGTCTCTGCTCTGATGCAGGCTCTGGTAACTTCGAGACACACTGCTCAAACTTCGGAGTCACTACAGTATAACGAAACAGCTCTTCATATTCATCCTGTTGCAAAGTGGTGACAAAGAATTACAAAACTACAATTACATTTTTTAAAAATAGGCATATGTAAGAAGAAGTGCAAATTAATTTTTTTCTATGATTTTGAGAGGCTTCTTTTTATTATTATGGTGAAAACTAAGTGGATTTCCCTTAAAGTTGCAAAAGTGAGCAGTTTTCCTACAATGACTATAATAATTGAACTTTCTCCTGTTTAATGTTCACATTCCTTCTGATTACAACTATATGCACTGCAATTGTTGCACAGACAGACTCTGCCAGATGCCAGCATTGAATACTGTAATTGGCATCTAAAACAAGAACTGGAAAAAAACTCCAGCCCCAGATCATGTAAGTTATTAATTGACCATTATTATTCATAATTACTACTACTAGTGCTGCAAAGAAAAAATATGTGTTTTTATAGCCATGACAAAGATTCTATTGAACACAGTCACACTTCACACTCTGTAACATTACAGTTTCTTTGATGGAAGTTGCAAAGCCAATCATCAAAAGAGATTTGATTTTACACAGTTTTGTTTAAAGTGGATATAATTATTCTCACCTTATATTATTTATTTTTGAAATTATACAGGCATATGGAATATGTATATATAAGTTAGAAAGACACTTTCATGTTAAGAAGCTATAAATCCATCTAATTGGTATGTGGCATTATGCTGTACACCGAAGTAAGCCAATTAATATTTTTTAAAAACCTCCTAATGAAACAGATTTTCAGGATGAAGGTATTTAGTATTCACTGTGAGTCTGTAAACAGTCTGTATTATTACTACAATCTAGTAATTAATTAAACAAGTTCCAGTACCAGTTACATACTAAACCCAAATCAAATCTACTAATTAAAGATTTGGAAAACAATGTTCATTGGAAAATACTAAACCAGGTCACTAGCAGTTATTTTTTCTTCACTTAGCATTATCACATTAGTTCTGTTCTGTTCACATCAGTTGTGTTAAGTATCCTAATGAAACCTCAGAACCAAATGTGAATTCAAAAATTAATTTCCTCTTTAACCTGGGGAAAGTTAGAGTGAAAACAAGAAATGAAAGGTACCAATTACATGCAGTATATTTTTGCATCTAACAAGGGAAAAGGATAATACTTCAAAACTCTCTGTGTAACTTCTATCTTTTTGTGTGTTTCAACTAATTTGAGAATTTAAGAAGCTAGGTTTGGTACATTTTATCTGAATTCTAGTTTCCATATAAATGTCCATTTCCCATCTTCTAATCATGTTCATAGTAAAAAACTAAATAAATGTATACAAGCGATAGAATTACAAATATGTGATGTATCTTTTGGATAAGTAAGTGTGTCACATTCCATGTAAAAGGTAGTTAGCTGCAGATCAACAAGTTATCAATTTTTCCACAGCCATATCTTTCTAAATGTATATCATTTAGATGTTATAAGATATCAAAAGAAGAAAACAGGTATCTTCAGATCTGTTACTCAGTCACGGACCATACAAAGCTCCCTGCAGCAAAATCTCAGCTGAGTAAAAGCCAGTATTAGCCTTAACTAATATAAATTAAATGATTCTGCAGAAGATGTTAGATCACACCTCTGTCTTCTAAGAGATCATTTAACCAAACAGCAACTTAAAACTAATTCCTCTCCAGAAACAAGTTAGTTCTCAGACAGAGCTGATCCAAGTGCTTCCATGATTATCTTAGTCAATTTGAAGGGCCTAGTAGGTTAGATGTCAGATCCAAGTGGGTGTCCCACAATGAGTCACCAAATTTATTCATTATCACACAATCTGTCCTACTATAGACATGCCTAGCATTCAAAATACACGTATCAAGTTATGGCGGGAAATTTCTTTCAAGTTCTAACTCCTTTATTAAAACTCAAAGAATCCACTCTGTACAGGAATACGCACGCTTATGCGCCAACAGTAAGTGTCAACAGACAGCATCCAGTGACAAATCTGGAAATAAATGTTTATAAATTGCAATATTACAACTCTGTTGAAATGAAGTTGAAAGGCAAATACTAAAGAAAGCACATATCCCAGTTGTAATCAGAAATGTAGACACACAAAAAAAATAATCCTGGAGACAGCCATGAGAATATGTATGGAAACACTGAGTGCTTTAAGTGTATCACCTCAGTCTTCAATATTCCATAACAAATATGCTGCAACTGGAATACAATACTGACCAGTACATTTAAAATAAAACCAAAATAAAATAAAATTAACAACATGTCTTTGCTTTACTATCTTGGTTCTGCGTTAAACAAAACTTCCAAGCTGTTTTGTCAATGACTAACAATTATGTTCATATATAAAACTAGAGGAATATAGTTCTATGATCTGAAGGTCAGTGGAGTTTCGACTATTTAGTGCCTTGGTTTTGTAGAAAAAAACCCGTAGTGATGCAATGAACAAATGGCACAAAAAAAATCAGATATTTTTTGATAATTTTTTTCTAATTTTAAAATAAAAATCTACAGATACTGCAAAGGATTGTAGTCAAGGTTACTATACAATATGGCAAGAACAGATTGAATGGATAAAGTTTTGTAGTATTATAATTATATACAATACTATGTTATACAATTATAAGTAATGGAAATTCTCTAAGAGCCAGTGGATCTCTTTGTAAGGAAAAAGTAATAATCCGGTCTCTATTTAAAAGCAACACATTATCAAAAAGGCTCACCTGAACAAAATACCTTTCAAAATTACGTAAACACAGTAGAGTACTTCCCTGTCAACATTCCTATTGATCACCTGTCACCTCAGAGTTCTTTTTCAACAGTAAAAAACTCCTGCCAGGGTAGCTTTGGGCTTGTCTAGTTTGGAGAAAAGGAGGCTGAGGGGCCTCCTTGCTCTGTACGGCTTCCTGAGCAGGGGAAGTGAGAGGTGTCCATCTCTTCTCCCTGGGATCCAGTGATGGAATGCATGGGAATGGTTCAAAATTGAGTCAGGGAGATTGTGCCAGATTTGACACTAGGAAGCATCTCTTTACCAAGAGGGCAAACACTGGAATGGGCTTCCCTAGGAAGAGTGTTTGATGCCATGAGCCTGTCACTGTTTAAGAGATATTTGCACAATGTCCTCTAATAAGATGCTTTAACTTTTGGTCAGCCACAAAACGGTCAGGCAGTTTGGCCAATGATTGATGTAGGTCACTTCCAACTGAGACTATTCTTCTCTAGACACAATCTCATTCACAAACCAGTTGCTCATTAGTATATTTTTTTCATTCTCTACAAGGTAGTCTTAGAGCCGCCTTGATAATCAACCTGGTCGTAACAGAAAATTCTGGTCCTTCAAAATTTGCAGCATGATGCTTTTATCTTGTTCTCTATCACAAGCATTGGAAACACAGATACATTACTATTCCTAAAAAAAAGATTATGAAAACTTATCCATGAGATAAGCACAAACAGAGAAGTATATGAGCTGCAGAAATTAATTGCCTCTAAAATGTCATTTAAAAGTTACAAGTCAATCCAAATGGTAAAAAAAGAAAAAAGAAAACCCCTTAATTAAACAGTGCTGCAGCTGTATATGCCCATTTCACCGGGTTACAAATGTGGAGATGCATTTCTACAAGGCAATTGGCAAAACATATTATTGTCAAAACTATCTTAATTTTGACTGTATCCTACCATAGGGAAAAAACCACACAGCATACTACTCAAACCAGAATAACCAATTATTAAATGATGAACATCTACTGCTTTTAAAAGAATGGTACAAAGACTTTATCCAGGATCACTGCATCCTCTAGAGAGAATGATGAGCACAGAAAAGGAAACATCCCAGTATTATAGTTACAGCATGTCCTGATGTATTTGACGCAGAAAGTAGAAAAAAAACAAAACAAAAAGCAACAATTTCCTTTCTGTGATTAACTTAGCCATATTACTACTCCAAGGGAAATAAATCCATTTAAAAAAAAATCAGTTTTTACTACATCATGGGGAAAGCCTAAAATATAGTTACTTTTCATGTCTGAAAAATAATGGGTTTCTATCTTACTGTGTCAAATTCTGGCTTCTTGATAAGACTTAGCACAAACAAAGAACAACACTAGAAAAAAAAAGGTAAGAAAACTACTATTTTACTTGTAACTGATCAAACTCTAAAGTTTAGATAAGAATTTTTACAAAAATTCCTTGTGAAATGCACAAAAGGGGACCCTAACTGAATGTATTTTAGCATCAGTTTTTTTGTGGTCTTTGCTTTTTTTCACTAACATTTTTACTATTTTCCTGTGTATACAAAATAGATGCACATTTAGTTAGATTTCCTCACAGTTATCCATTGCCAAATAAAATGCCATGACACTAAATCAAATTATATTGCCTTTGTCCTACCTGAGGATCTGAAGAAACAGGACTGTCCTGAACAAAGTCATTTGGCAAAACTGGACTTGTGCTTTTCTCCTCATCAGATGACATTCTGCACAGTCTATAAAACAGTAGAAGCTGAACTTTGTTTTTCAGTTTCAGTACATAAACATATATTCATAATATATATAAACATATATTCTAAACACTGATTCTTCCTGCATCACAAAAGCTCTTTCTGCCATGGATAATTTTATACCTTTCAGAATGGCAAGCTCATTTCTGTGCCAATGATTAAAAATGTTAAAAAACAGCATAAAGACAATTTCAATTGCTGAGATTTCCCATGGCTCAAGGTCATGGCTCAATGATTACCGTCTTCCTACTTCCTGATGGGCCCTCCTACTTCCTGCTGGGCCCTTATATACCAACCACATTTTTTAAATACAAAAAATGGAGCCTAATGAAGGTTTACTTTGTACTTTTTATTCCTGTATATCCGTGTGTATGATGACAGAAGAAATACTACCTTCCTCAGCTCCGCCTTTTTTGTTGCCTCCAGGTCTGATAATTTTCTTCTTTCCTCTCTCACATGAATTATTGCTTATAAATCCCCTTGGTTTTAGCCTCTCTATGTAATGAAATAGCTCTATAGTAGCACTCTACCTTCTTTTAGCTGATAAATTCTTTCAATACCAAAAGATACTTCTGTAATCCTAAAAAGTCAACTTCATAGGCTTTCCTACATAGTTTCTCAAATTGTGGATCCTGGCTACTCTAAAAGTCCTGGATCTGTCCAAAGATGTGTGTGCATTAGCAAAGAACACAAAGCACCAACCATCTAGCACGTACAGGAACTGTATGTGTATTTGCAGCCAGAAGTTAGAAATATTGTCATACCTTCCCTTCTTAGTACACTTCAAAAGAACAAAACTACTGATTTTTCTGAGAAACAGGATGGCACATGGAGTCCCATGTGAATGCAGACAAGTCCAAGGAAGTAGAAAAGAAAGGTTTTTATTGAAAAGTTTGTTCAATAACCTAAGACCACTGTCCTGACTTCTGTTTTCAGTTCTCTAAGATCATGCCCCTGACATGCAATCTAGTGGATCTAGTTCTCATCACTGAAACTTCTCTTTGGTCTTCTAAAACTCAAAAGGTTCCTTCATCACAAGTGATAAACTAAAGTGAACTCAGTCAGTTCTCATACAACTTCCCCCTAAGACCCTTCACCATCTTCATTGCCCTCCTTTGGATGCTTTCAAATAGCAGAATGTCTCTCTTATACTGTGGCACTCAGCACTCAAAGTGAGACCCTCCCTTGCCTGGCTGATGCTGTGCCTGATGTCCCCAGGACACAGGTGGCCCTCCTGGTTGCCAGAACACTGCTGACTTGTGTTCAGCTTGCCATCCACCAGGACCCACCAGACCACTTCAGTGGGGCTGTTCTACAGCCTCTCATCTTCCAGTTTGCTCATACATCCAGCCCTGTCCCAGGTGGCTTTTCTGCCTTTGAGGAAATCAAATGCCCTACCCAATTCAGTATTGTCAACAAACTTAGCATGCCTTCAATTCCTCCACCCAAGTCAATTAAGCAGATGTTGAAAAGCATCAGGCCTAAGGTGGAGCCCTGTGGAAACCCCTAGTGACAGGTCCCCAGTCTGATGTCACCCCAGTCACTGTAAACCTCTGTGCCCAACCTGTGAGCCAGTTGCTCACCCATCACAGGATGCATTTATCCAGCTGTGTGCCGGATACTTTGTCCAGAAGGATACTGTGAGACAGTACCAAAAGCTCTACTGAAACCCAAAAAGATCACATCAACTGGCTTCCTTTGATCAAGGAGGAGGGTCACCTTGTCATTACAGGGAATTAAGTTTCTCAGGCAGGACCTTCTTCTCATGAACTCATGCTGGCTGTGATCAACAACGGTGTCAATGTTGCAATGAAGCACAGAACTCATCTCTGCCTTGTCTAGTCCTGTTCGTGAGGTGACCATCCTCATCATGTAACAGGCTCATGTTATTTCTGGACTGCCTTTCATTACTGACATATTTTTAAAAACTACTTTTTATGTCCTCCACAGTACTGGCCAGCTTCAAGTCTAACTGAGCTCTGGCTACATGAATTTCTTGTGGAGAGCTGAATCTCTGTATTTCTTTGACTTTGTAATCTGACTTTGCTTCCACTGGGCATATGCTTTCCTCTTTTGCCTTAGCTTCAGAAGAAGATCTCTGTGCAGCCAAGCCGGCCTAAGAATAACTTATCAGCTTTGATCTCAGTGAACAAGCACTAAGTACCACAAAATACCGGATAAGTTTCTAAAAGAGAAATCAAGGGATATTAAGGCACCACCTCTAGGTCAACAGGCTAATTTGCTAAGCTGCAAATCATTATATGGTGTAAGACAAGTGAGAAGAACATCTTCAAGCTTACCAAGTTCTTCTAAACTTGCCCAAGCATCTGTCAAAATATGTCTGACTTCATTAAAGAAAGATTTCTGCTAACAGCGTTTCTTCCAAACCATAAGCATACAACTGCAATAGTAACGCTGCTACTTTTAAGAAACAGGATGCAACTATAAAGACCTTGATCTGACTCACCAACCTCGTTCTCCTCATTAATTTTGAATGAATTAAGCTAAGCTCAGGTTTTTGTGGGTTTAGCTTTGTTTTTAACTAAGGGTGATGCTTTTCCAAATAATTTAGTGCTTCATTCAGATAAGAGTACTCAACACCTAGGAAAGAGAATCATGTAGTGGATAAGGTCGGAACAGACCACAGTGGGTAATCTAGTCCAACTTCCTGCTTAAGCAAGGTCATCCTAGAGAACATGGTACAGGATTGCATCCCAGTGATTCTTGAATATCTCCAGTGAGGGAGATTCCACAATCTGAGTACTCTGTTCCAGTGCATGGCCACCTGCACAATACAGAAGTTCCCCCTCATGTTCAGGTGGAACTTCCTGTGTATCAGTTTCTCCTCATTACCTCTTGTCCTATTGCTTGGCACCACTAGGAAGGGCTCAGCTCCATTACCTTGGAACCCTCCCTTTAGATAATTATAGACATTGATGAGGTCTCCTCTCAGTTGTCTCTTCTTGAGGCTGAACAGGCCCAGCTCCCCCTGCCTTTCCTCTTAGGAAAGATACTCTAGTCCCCTCATCATCTTTGTAGCCTCTGCTACCCATTCTAGGAGTTCCATGTCTTGTCCTGAGGAACCCAGCTGGTAGCCTCACCAAGGATGAGTACAGGGGAAGGATGACCTTCCATGACCTGCTGGCAATGCTCTTCCTAATGCCCCCCAGGATCCCATTGTCCTTCTTGGCCACCAGGACACGCTGCTGGCTCATGGACACCTTGTTGTCCACCAGGAACCCCAGGTCCTTCTCTGCAGAGCTGCACCCCAGCAGGTCAGCCCAAGGTACCTGGGGTTGTGTCTCCCCAGGTGCAGGACCCTGCATTTGCCTTTGCTGAATATCAGATGGTTCTTCTCTGCCCGTCTGTCCAAACTGCTGAGGTCCTTCTGAAGGGCTGCACAGCACTCTGGGGTGTTGGCCATTCCTCCCAGCTCTGTGTTCTCAGTCAATCTGAGCAGACATCTGCCCCCTCATCCAAGTCATGGATGAACAAGTTCTGGGCCCATTATTGAACCCTGGGGGACACTGCCAGTGATAGAACTACACTGCCTGCCAGCAGAGACAGGACATATTCGTTCCCTTTAGCTGAGCCCCCTTGCAAAGCAGCGCTCCTCACACTTTTTTCTCTCACAGCAGCAGCTCCGCAGCTGCCCCCCAGCTGCCGCCGTCAGCGCCGACACCGTTGAGACCGCGGCTGTCATGGCAGCCGGGGACAACAAAGACAATCCGCTGAGTGCCCCACAGAAACCAGGGAGGCACAGGCGTCAGGCAGCTGGGAATACGATAGATTGTGAGCAGGAAATTCTCCTTTTCTTTTCTTATACAGAGCTTCTGAGGCGACCAGCCCAACCAGTGGGCAGGGAGTACCCACTGGCACCCTCAGGAAACTCAGGGTGGGGTTGCGGGCGGCAATGCGGTCCCCGGGCAGGCGCAGGGGTGCTGTGGGAAGGACGGCGCGGCCCCCGGCCA